GAGAAAGATGGCAGCCTCCTTTCCCTAAGATTTACTGCCTCAGAAACCCCATAGAAGGCTGCAGTCAGTCAGAACCGACGCCATCGTAGTGAGGTGTGTTGTGTGTGTGTCTAGTGGGGGGAAAAAAGACCTTTTCAAAGACTGACAAGGTGCAGATGCAACAAATGATGACAAATTTATCATGAGTAGGAAGTTGGTCCCAACACTTCACCACGAAAGGGCAAGTAGAGGTTGTGACGTTCATAACCTAAGAACTGCCCGATTCTGGGAGGAAAATGCAACAACTCATCAGCCTGGGACCAAACTGGAATGAACTGGTTTGAAGCTCTGGATTACATTTCCAGAATCACTGGTGTAGGATATGATTTCTGGACTCAAATTCCCTGGGCTTCACTCTCAACCTTGTTCCTCACCAACCCTAAGGTCCTAGGTACAGAATTCAACTTTTTAGTGCCTCGCTCTACTCATCTATTAAGTGAGAACAATAGCAGTAATTAAGACACAGGGCTTTTAAGATTGTTAAGTCTGGACAAGGGGGCCAAGGGGAAGAATGAAGAATTCATTTTTCAAACCCTGATGACCTTGCCTGCTGCTGATTAGAAGAGCAAACGCCTTGGCTGCCTGGCTGAGCTAACAGGCAACCCACCATAAATCATAGCAAGATGTACCTCCCCTCCTTCCCTAAAGACTCTGTTATAAAAACCCTCCCCACTAAGTTCCCAGTGTGACTTCCCCATTCTGCATTCAGAGTGAGGAACCTCACCCAGGCACTCCCCTATTCTCCCACTTTAATAAAGCTGCATTAAGCTTTCTCTCATTCTCTCTGATTTCTTCTTTAAGTCCGTTAACTTAACAAGGATTATATTGGTTGATATATGCAAAGGGTTCAAAATCATGCCCAGAAAACAACAGCACTCAGTACATTTACCACTGTTCACTTTTTCTCTTGTTCTCTAATGCTAAAACAAGGCAGCTGCAAATGTTGCCTTTTGGTAATAATATTATCACACTTTTTCTCTTGTTCTCTAATGCTAAAACAAGGCAGCTGCAAATGTTGCCTTTTGATAATAATATTATCATATAATATAGTAAGAGATAATCACATGATTATCATATAATAATGGATATATTGATACTTTTTTCACTTGACAAGAAAATATTAAAGCAAAAGTTTAAAATTTATGAAAAAAATTTAAAATAAAATTGAAGAAAAAGTTTAAAATAGAAAATAAACAATGTTACTGAAGTTTCATCAGAGTAAGCTGCCATCATGTTGATTCCAAATCATGGCATCCCAGGTATAGCTAGCCGACCTGCACTGTGGAAGGGTTTCAGCGACTGGAATCTTCTGGAAGTAAATCAGGCTTCCTCTGAGTCACCTCTAGGAGAGTTTGAAGCACCAAACTTCTGGCTAATTTAACTATCTTCTGCTTAACTATTGTACTACCCTCAACAAACGGTCAAACTCATTAGTGTCAAGTTGGAACTGACTCACAGCTAAACCTCCATTCTAAACCATCCCTGGAACAGCTCTGTCACATCAGAAGTAGGAGAGGTGGCCACGTAGTTCGCTAGTTAAATCTATAACCATATTCACTTACTAGCAGATATGAAACATTTACATTTTTAAATAAATGTATCTGTCTCTATCCATTTATATGTACATATATAGAGACACATTCAAATTCACTGTCATCTGCTTAATTCCAAACCATGAAGACACTTTATTGGGTTTCCAAGGCTGAAAAACTTCATGCCAGGAGAGTTTTCTTCTTTCTCCCGCTGGTGGATTTGAACTAACAGGTTACCAACAGCACACTATGCACCATGCTACCAGAACTCCTTGTGAATATACATACAAAATAGAAAATATACTTGAAGAACATACACCAAAAACACTAAATACCTACAAGACTATTGAAGATGTCTTTTGTTTATTTACTTGCTTCATTTTTCCTTTACTATGTTTTAAAATATTTGTATTTAGAATCGTTAGGAATGTTGTGATGTTGAATGTTGACTTTGTGATGATTCAGACTGAGATCTTACTTTACAACTTATCACACAACACTAAAGTATGTCTTTTAAAAAGGCAATTCTAACTACAACAATCAACATTTCTTATGTTTATTTCTAAGCACAAAACCCATAACAATCTTCGTGCATGGTCTGAAAGAAATGTCAATCATTCAAAGAATCAAAGCGAGGAAAGAAATATTCTTATCTATTTGGTTTTCAAATGATGCTACGGAAGTACACCGTTAGGCTATTAAAAATCTCATGATATTGTGCAGACCAACAAAGTCTGTGACTTTCAATAGAAATGACCTTCAGAAGTACCAAGTTAAAAGGAGTATACTAAAATAGTGTCTCCAGTGTCTGCTATGGCCTAGATAGAATTTTCTTTTGAGAAAACCACAGCTACTTATTTTCGGTGGCCTCATTCAAACAAACTTAAATTATTGTGGGAAGGATAAAGGGCACAGTGGTGTCGAGGGGGACAAAACACCTTTCCCGTTCTAGTTGACACAATGAAGAGGAATGAGTTATTTTCTTGATTTCCACACATATGATCAACTAAGAATTTCAACATCTCAAAGAGAAAACATTTCAATTTCTTACTTAGGGCAGTAATATAGGATCTATGTGATTTGAGGCTTCTAAAATTCTTTCTAACGCTGGGAATGTTAAGGTATTTTCTAAATTTAGCCAACATTACACATGTTTGAAAAATTGAATGATAACCCTTATAAACAAAGAAGAAAAAGCTGACCTAAAACTCTACTTTGGATAAGGCGAACTTGAGCCAGACCATGGTGCTGTTAACTATCTAAACTGTGAAAGTTGAACAAGGAAGACTGAAGATGCATGGATGCCATTGAAGTCTGGTGTGGGCATAGAACACTTCCAAAAGAACAAGGAAATATGCCTTGGATGAAATGCAGTCAGAATATTCCTTAGATGTGAAGATGATGAGACCATGTTTCATGTACTTGGGCCACCTTATCAAGGAGCAACTAGTTTCTGGAGAAAGACATCTTTATACTTGGTAGAGAGTCAGTGAAAGAGAGGAAGATCCTCAATGAGATGGAGTGACAGAGTGACAATGGACTGAAGCACAGCAGCTTTTGCGAGGATAGGGCAGGACTAATTGGACAGTGTATCTAAGTTGTACGTAGGATCATTATGAGTCAGACTGTCTCAAGGGCACCCAACAACAACAGTATCTTTGTCTATCCAAATATATCTTTTCATATGTGATGCCTGCGGCATAGATACATTTGAAAGTATACCAATGTGGTAAATAAATTATTACAATCTCAGAAAGACAGACACTTCCTCTTTTGATGGTTTCCAATCATTAGAGAAATGGCCTCTTTGGAGCATCAGCAAAAGTAATATATTCTGAGACTTTAAACTCAGCTGTGGTGCATACACTGAAATATGGTGGTGCCTTAGAATATGTCATCGGAGTAAGCGATTCCTCTCTGGAGAAGGCATTGACAAAGAGGCAGAAGTTGAGAACATTCTTTTTGAAGAGTATGAATATGTGGAATTTTTATTTGAACATATTTCTTTTCAACTTCTATTTCTTAGAAAATAAAGTTACTTAAAGAGATCAGATATTACTAATTAGAAAAGGATGCTATTAAGCAATAATTTATTAACACATTGCCGCAAATGACGGTAATACATTAAAAAAAAAGCGTTTCTTAGCATGGTCGTCAATTTAAAAGTGTGAGGCAACATGTTAATCATCTTTTCTTTGAATTTATACTTTTTGAAATTGTTAGCAAGGGAGCTCTGGTGGTTTACTGAGTCAAGAGTTGTACTGCCAACTCTCAAACAGGTGAGCTGAATTCTCCAACTGCTAAGAGAGATAAAGATGGGCAAACCTTCTCCTGGTGATTTACAGCCTCTGAAACCTCATTGGAAGATTAGATCTGCGTCAGTCATGATGTGATGAAACATAACAACATATGTATATATGTAATTCTATTTAACTATATAATGTAATAATAAGTTAACATTTTATACTCCACAGTATCATCCCATCTAAGTATTGTGCTAAGAACTTTATGTACACTTGAAAATGTTAAAGAAAAGAAAAAGACTGAAAGAAAAGGAAAACATTAAATTACTTGATTACTTTTATTAGGAAGAAATAATGTAGAAAATCTATTTGAAAAGGTAAGCTTTATAGTACCTAAGTGCTCTGGTAGCCTAGTGGTAAGAAACTGCACTGCAATCCTAAGGGCACTGGGCTTGAATCCACCAGATTCTCCACAGTAGAACGATGGGTAATCTCACATGCAATTTACTGCCTCTGAAAACCTACTGAAGTGTCAGATAGGAGTTGGTTCTCATTTGAACACACACAACAACAATAACAAGAAACACCATTTGTTAAGATGCTGGTGACATCTATGAAATGCTAAACTCTAATGCCAATGAGTTGATTCCAACCCATAACAACATTCCACGAGGTTTTTGAGACTAAATATCTCAAGTGGCGTATCCCGTAGTGTGCCAGACTGCTAACCAGAGGACTGTCCATCTCTGGTGTTCAAATCCCCCAGCGGATCCAGGGCGAAAGATGGACAGTTTCCACAGATTAAGATCTACAGTCTCAGAAACCTGCTGGAGTGTGGCCACGAATCAGGACCCTCTCAATGTCACTGAGTAAGAGAAATGTGCTCGAGAGCAGACTCCCTGTCTACCTCATATGGGGCACTTGGGACATTTTAACAGCCTTTCGGTTAGCAACCCAACACATCAGGCGCTATGACACCTGGGCTTCTTCCAAAATGAATAAAGTGAATGAAATATTCAGTCCATATCTAGATATTTTGTTTTGCGTGATGTTTGTTTACATTATACTGTTTACCCATTGTAAAGTATTTATTTTCTCCTGAACTATTATGCTACAAGAGCAATGTCAGCAAGTAGGCATTGAAAATATGCTTAATGTCACGTAGAGGATCATAAACCTCTTTCACCTCTTTCTTTATTTCCTCTTCATCTTCCAGTGTCAGGGCAGCCAGTTGCTTTGCTCTCTGTTCCATGAGATTCACGTATCGGATTGGGTTTGACAAAGCTTCAATCACATCTACACAGGAAGGAGATATTTCACGTCAAAGTTCCTAAAGGTGCTTTATCCATTCAACTTACCATCCATTTACCCATCTAGCCATACATTTATTTATCATTCCTCTTCCTACCCATCTGTACTAGCTACTCTGAGGGAAATGGATGGGCAATTTTCTTTTGTATTATTTACTGCCTCTGAAAACCCCCTGGAGGGTCACTTGTGGGTGGGTTCCAATTCCACAGCACACAACAATAACCACAACCTACATATCTACTCATCAGTCCATCATCACATTGCCCCATCCACCCATCTTCCATCTCCCTACTTATTCATTCATTCAATCATTCAGCCAATCAACCAATCATCCATCCATCCATTAATATATATACACACACACATACATTCCTCTACTTGTCCATTCACCTATCCATCTTCTTTATTTCGACTTATCCATGCATCCATCCGTCCATCCATCCATCCATCATTATTCCATCATCCATCCATATAGTCATTCATTGTTACACATCTAATAAGTCAGGGTCTAATCCTCATCATTACAAAGATTAAAAAAAATGAGGGGGAAAGATATAGGCATTCGGTGTTATATACTGTTTTGGCAAAACTCAGGTTACTTGTCCACAGATATTTCTAGAATACTAGGGATTGCATTAAGCCATGAAAATATCTATGCTTCAGATGGAACTCTCTCGAAATCAGGTTCTTTACCTGCATATGTGTCTGGCACGTAATCTTTCACTTCTATGTTGACAAAAACAGCAGGGAGCATCAGAGGCTGGTTCCTTTCATTCCTCAGACTGATGTAGTGATAGCCTGGGGGGTAATAATAATATTATGTCTCACATGTTTTCTTCACAATATTAGTTTTAACACTTAAACATTTATGTGAGAAAAGAGTTTATTTTAGGTAACAAGTGGTAAACAGGTCACTTATTTTTCCTTTTAATTACGTGACTTTGCCAATAAAGTATTCTTTTCTTCATCTAACAACAAAACATTATTCTTTATTATTCTTTTTTTCTTCACTCTGTTTTACCTCTTCCTTTTTTACTTCATTTTTCCCCCCAAAAAAGAGTGTTCTCAATTCTTTATCACAGGCCGAATCATCAGTCCAAATTTGTTGTTGCTGGTGTTAGGTGCCATCGAGTCGTACTGACCCTATGAATAATCGAGCTAAACCTTGCCCTCTCCCAAGCCGCTCTCACAATGTCTGAGATACCTGAGCCTGTGTCACTGTCTCAATCCATATTGTTGAGGGTCTTCCTCTCTTTCACTCAAAATCCCCTGTCCAAGCATGATGGCCTTTTCCAAGGACAGGCCCCTTCTAACACCATGCTCAAAGTATGAGAGATGAATTAGAATGTGAATTGACTTATGCTTTCCAGGACTTCTAATGTTGGTGTGAACTGCCTCAACCAGTGGTGTATTAGAAATCAGTAATTTGATGCTGAAAATGCCCTTTCATGGATAGATTTGTCTTCTGCACTCCCCTGGCTCCCCATGGGAAATCCAAACAGTGGACACCGTTTCCCCATCAGGCTGAATGGCAGCATGAACACTGCAGCCGCCTTAACCCACGTCACAGTGTGAAGCAGAGTTATTCGGTCAGTAGCCTATCATATAAGCCTATCATTCATGGGACTAATATCAGGGTGGGGGTAAGACTGAGAAAAACTGGATAAATTGTGTATACTGCACTGAAACAGAAAAAAAAAAGAATAAAACACTCAGATATAAAGAGTTAAAGCCCTGTTTACAAAACACAATCAAAAGGTTCAGATTGCTTCCTAATGGATTTGTTAATTGCCATGTAAGGCAGCTTTGCTTTTGTATAAAACGTTATTAAAGAGCTCTCCCCATCCCCACCAGCCATACCTGGTCGAATTGCTTGTACTGGCAAGATCCGGTGACCAATAAATTTGCCTCCTTCTTCATAAACTGCTATCCTTAAACAGGCCAGAGAAGGAAGCACCACCTACAGGGATATATTACAGACATTTTGGTTACAAGAACAAGCAACTTCAAGAAAGTATTAGACAAGTAACTATTTTTTAAGAACTGTTGCTTTTTCAATCCAAGTTGAAAAATCTCCACATTTCAACTCGGAGGCTGCCCATCTTTATTCTGTGGAACTGCTGCTGTTGTTCTGTGCTGTCGAGTTGGAACCTGACCCTCCGGTGGGTTTTCAGAAGCAGTAAATTGCATCTGAGGAGATTCCTTATCCTTTCCCTGTGGATTTGAACTGTGTGTCTTTGGTGTTGCAGCACAGCTTCTTAACATTACGCCATCAGTGGGAGCCAAAGGGGCACCGCCTTCTGGTTAACAACTCCCAATGGATTGCCTCTTCAGAGCCCCCAACCTTAGAAAGTTAACCTGTTCTATGATTTACATTTTCAAAAGGAAAAGACAGACAACAATATGTGTTCAATTATTACCTTACGTTGTCCCAGAGGTACTTGTCAATACATATGATATTTTTTTTTACATATGATATTTTAATTTTACATGGAAATACTCAATGCAGAAATGACACAAGTATCATATTAAGAATAGAATCAGTGGTCTTATCATTAGCAAACACTTACTTTCACATTTTCAAAGAAAATAATTTTTATACTTTCAAAGCAAAAGTGGAAAATATAAGAAGAAAAAGAGAGAGAACAGTGTTTCCAAGACAGCATTCAAAATTCTACTACTTTATACTGACTGCAAATGGATTAAAATTACCAAGCAAGAAACAGAGAGTAGCAAAATGGATATAAAAGCATGACCCAGAAATATTACGGCTACCAGCAGCATGAAGATTAAATAAGCTAAGAATACCAAATGGTGGAGAAATCTACCAAGAAAACAACCACCATTATAGAACAGGAGTGACAATATTAGGTTTTGATAAAACAGCAAAAGCCACTATAATAGGCAAAAAAGATATTGTATTAATGACTAACAGATCAATAGGACCAGAAGACATAAGCAACACATCCAAGGGAAAATCCTCCAAAATGCACAAAAGATAATTGAAAATAGATAATTCCATGACAGCAGGAAAAGATATCACCCTCAACGAAGGACAGAATAACTAGAAAGAAACTCAACAAAGACACAAAAGATCAAAACAATACAATTAACTGATTTGGCCTTACAGATATATCAAAAATATTGTAGCCAAGAAGAGTGCAGTATACATTCTTTTCTCCCCCTGTACCTGGCACATTTTCCAGAACTGACAATTTAATTTGCAAATTAAGCCTTGTTGAATTTAAAAACACCAAAAAACACTACAAAACATCACTCAGATCACAGCACTACCAAACCAGAAATCAACAAGGAGAAGAGGAAGGGGAAAATTATAAAGACATGGAAATAGAAGTGACTATGCAAAGCACAAAATAAAAAGTGAAATAAAAAAAAAATCTCTTGGATCAAATGAAAATGAAAACACAAACTACCAAAACCTTTGGGATATAAGCAAAGTAGTGCTAAGTTAGTGAGAGACCCAGACATCAAAGAAGAAAAAAAGAATTAAAAGAAAACTATATTATGACTTTTGAGGAAGCACCAAACTGCCTTCCAGAATCAACAATGTATAAGAGTTCCTTTCTCATCACATCCTCTCCAACATCTATTACTTGTTAAACTTTGCCATTCTTACTGGAGTGAGATGGTACCTCACTGTGGTTTTGATTTGCATCTCTCTTATTACCAGTAATGTGAAGCATTTTTTCATGTGTCTGTTTGCCAGTCGAATATCATCCTCTGTGAAAATTCTTTCCATGTCTTTTGCCCGTTTTGTAATTGGGTTAACACAATATAATCCAATATAATATATAATATATTGGAAGCAGGAGTGGCATACACTTCCTAAACAACATGCCTTTGAAAACTCTATGACCTTTGATAAATGATGATAGTTATAGAAAGGCTTCAGGCCTTTTGTTCATAGGGTCTCTATGAATTGCACTCGACTTGATGGCAATCAACAACGATACAACATATACATCTATAATTAGAAAAAGAACAGGAAAACAAACAAAAATTAAATAATACAGTCACCAGATGAAAGGAAATAATAAATCTTAGAAATATGTGAAATACAAAAGACTTTTAGGAAAAATTAACAAAACTGAAACTTGGCTCTTTGAAGGATTAATAAAATTGACAAAACATTGGGAAAACCTAACAAAGAAAAAAATATAAGCAAACACAAATAACATGGATTAGAAATGAAACAGATGGTGTTATAACAGAACCAACTGGGATCAAAAGGATAATAAAATCTGGTACTTATGGGGCTTCTTTCAGTTACAGTCAACTCAGTGGAACTTAACAACAACAACAACAATATAAAGAATTGTACTCCAACAAATTTGTGAGTCTATAAGAAATGCAACAAGTTTCTAGAAACACTATTTATTCAATCTAAAATAATCTTCGGACAAAAATGTTAACAAACTCATAATGAAAGTGGAAACTGAACACATAAAAGAATTCTTTAAAATTTTATGAACAGTCATTTAAGGTGTGACTTAGTCTCTTCCAGTGACTTTATTCCATTCTGTTCCAGAGTCAGTAAAATAAAAAATGCATAGAAATATCTAGTCCAAAGGACTGATAGAACACTTGACCTCAACTTCCACAATCCTGATACCAGAAGCACTAGACGGTGTCCAGCTAAAACTACAGATTACTGTGACGGGATAACAACAAAACAATCCTGGGAAGAGTAAGAATACAAGTTGAATAAAACTAGAAAAGGATAAGTTTACTCATTGAATAGAGCCTTGTGGAAACCCTGCGGTTATGACCCTAGCCACCCTTCCAGTTTGCATCTGAAGTTACCCTCATGGATCAACTTTCAACCAACAATGGTTTTGTTAGGTAGCACTGAGTTGAGTACACAGCAAGCCTATGAACCACAGATCTGAGCCCCGTGCCGTCTTCATCATCTCTGACATCCTGGAGCTCACTGCTGCCGTCACTGTGTCAATCACCAGACAAGCGAGTGTCAGTGAATAATAACATAATGGAGGAAGACACTCCTTAGAGCCATTAACCATAGGAGACCACAAGGCTACCATTTCTCCAGAAGACAGGAAGGGGCAGGAAAGGAGGACAAATGGAAACAAGAAACGAAGGCAAGAAGTGCTGAAACAAAGGCAGGGGTGCTGTTAGGATGTGAGGACTGCAGTCAAGGTCATGAAACAAAGTGTGCACGGATTGGTGAATGGACAACTAAGTTGTTCTGTAAACTTCCTCTCAAATAACAATAAAAAGTTCATTAAAAATAAATACATAATCCTTGCTTTCACCCTTTTTTTTCAGTTAGGCTAGTAAGAAAAATGTCTTCTATTACAAAGATCATGTATGCATTAAAAAAAGAGAGGCAAATGAATATTGTACCAGGAGAATGGGATGTACAGGAGCCCTGCAAATCAGGGATGGCAACAGGCTAAAACGTCGTTTCAGGACCTGTGTCCTTGGCGGATGATGGGGGTTGTTTTCTTGGGTGTCTCATCTTCTGTCATTTCTGCTAAACGTTTTCCCTCACTGGACTTTCTCACTTGAGAAGACTACTTTGGGTTTCTTTTTAGAAAGTCGCTGCTGGGTTTTAGGATGGCGACAGGCAGTACGGCAGGGCTCAAGCATCACAAAGTCTTTCAAAATACTCTTTTTAAAATTGGTTATAGAAGAATTCATTTACACTGAGTTTCATTCTTGTACCTTGTGTTGTATAAAATCTTTACTTTGTTTTATACATTCATATATACTGTATTTTCTATTACATTGTATTTTATATGATTAATTGTGATCAATGATTAATTATTTACATGATTAATTGGCCTAAGCCTATTATTGCCTGTCTTTCAAATCCCCACTGAATCTTTCCTATTTCTTCACCTCCAGCTTCAGAACATGTATATTTTTTTTTCATGAAGTATAGGAACACTGTAAACATCTCTTATCACATAAATGAGGGGTGACATGCATCCTGTTTGGTCTTTAAGGCCACTAGATTCATGTCTGAACATGGTGCGAACAGACAGAGACCTTTAAAGCTGTAGCTTGGAGCTGTACCAGCCACGCTGATGGCATGAGGTGGCAAGCCCAAGGATGAGACACAACATGTGGGAACGGCCACGTGGAAGGCTGAAAAGCTGCTGGGATTGAAAAGAGGAGCCAATGTCAGCAGCTTCTCGCTTCCATACATCTTGTTGTCACAGTAAAAAGAAATACTTGCTTGACTAACATTCATTTCACCCCCCCCAAATGCTATCGCTTTGTGAATTTTTTAATTTCCAAATGAAACAACAAATAAGTACCAATTTAATTGTTTTCACTCAGTGTAAAAGACCTGGGATACAATTAAATGTCATATCAGCAATATAAGTATTTAGATTATCTTTAAATGCTTTTGATTACAACGGCAAACTAATATTTATTATTTTTGTTGCTGTTGAACCAGAACCGACCCCTAACTGACCCCCCAGCAGGTTCTCAGAGGCAGTAAATGGCATGGGGGGAGATTGCCTATCTTCCTGCAGAGCAGCTGGTGGATTTGAACCACATGCCTTTGGGATTGTAGTGTATGTTCTTAGCACTAAGCCACCAGAGTTTAATGCCACCCCCTAAAAAGAAAAAAAAAAAAAACCAAAACAAAAAACACCTCACTAGAGACAAGTTAATTCTGACCCATAGTGATCCTACATTGGATTTCAGAGGCTGCAGGTTTTTAATGGAGAAAATCACCCATCTTGGTGGATTCCAACTTAGACCTTTCTGACAGCATGCCTTAGTTTTTAAATATTGTTAAATGACAGGCATTTTTAAAAGAGTGTTCTCATGCCTTAAGTTATGGATTACTTATAATAATTCCTAACTATAAAGTACATCCTGTTATTAAACTCAGTTAACATATGAAAGAAAAATGGGTGCACAGAGAAAGAGAAACTATAAATTCTCTAAAGTTCCTTAAGACCTAAGTGGTAGTTCTGGGACTTGAACTTGTGCAGCTTGGCTCCAGGGCCTAGACTCTTATGCGTATTACATATACGTATGGTGGTTACAGAAATTCCACAGGCAATGTGTTGGATAATTGTTGTTATAGCAAGACTATACAGCTCCGATAACCTAATGGGCAGGGAATTGCACTCTGAACCCAAAGGCGGGGGTTTGGAATTCATGAGCTGCTTCTCATGAGAGAGACGGGCAACCTCCTCCCATGTGCTTTATAGGCCCTGAAATCTGCGGGCGGGTCAGTTTTGAGTCGGATCTGACTGGACGGCAATGAGTGTGAATGCGTACAGATTTAAGGCAAGTGGACTCATTCACCAGCCTTTCAATTAGCAGGTTTAACCATTTTTACCAGTGAGGGACTCCATTGCCATCAAGTAGGAACTTCCTCACAGCTGGCCTTCTATCAGGTTCCCAAGCTGTCCACTGAATGGAAGGAGAATGCCCCCATCTTTAGTCCCCGCAAAGCCAGTGGTACATCTGAATCACCAGAAAAAACATGGCTTTTGAATTAACACTGCAACAACCTAGGGTTCCTATTCCAGATGTCCCTAAGCTTATTTTCAACTCACTGAAAGATATGAAGACTCCTTCAGAGAAGCATGATGATCAAATTCTATTACCAAAAGGCATACTTTGGGGTAAAGGGAGGGCAGGAAAGTAAACTAAAATGCTAGAGAAGATTGCAGGCTTAGCAGAGCAGAAAGCACCCTTAACTGAGAGGTGAGGTTTGCAACAGGCTGCTTTTGTAGATGTTTGAGTCAGTTAACAAATGGTAAGGTTACATACAGCAAGAAAGTCCACTCTATATTCTGCTGGACTTTATCCTTTTATGTGATAAGTTCATGTGAAGAAGATTTGCTAGCTCATGAAGACAGAGAGAAAAGTTTAGTGGAGTGTGAAAGGTGGCAACTCCATCAGAGAAAACTTCGACACAAAAGAACTGTCAGGTACTGCCAGGAACAAGCAATTCTAGGGAATTTAATTAAAATTCCTTTTAAAGCATGTAGAGATTGATTTTGTCTAGACTGTTATATTATTCCCTACTTTGCACTCTACATCATTTGAGTTAAAATGAAAAGATATCATTTAATACCTGTCTTATGTGAGAACATGACTTGAACTTCTTGTTATATGTGTCGAATTTCTTGCAACTCACAGTGACCCTATGTCAAACAGCTCTGAGCCAATCTCATTGTCTCTGACACATCTACCCCTATTACCCCAGTTACCATATCAATCCATTTCATCCAGGGTCTTCCTCTCTTATGCTGTCCCTACACCCTCCCAAGCATGATGTCCCTCTCCAAGGGCTTGTCCCTCCTTGCAACATGTCCAAAGTATGTCAGATGAAGCTTCAGAATCCTTGCCTCTAAGGAGAAGCCTGGTTTCAACCTCCCCTGGATAAATCTGGTTGCTCTCCTAGCAGTCCATGGTATATTCAACACTCTTCTCCAGCACCACAGTACAAACACCTCAATTCTCCTTCTATCATACCTAATCATTGTCCAGCTTCCTGATGCATAGCAAGTAATTGCAAAGGCCATGGCCTAGATCAGGTGCACCTTAGTCTTATCTGCTTAATTTATATGTTTGACTAAAGTCAAGCATACTGGAATTAATAAGTTGATTTCCAATAATAATCCTAAAAATCTCAACAAGTTATTAACAAAAATTTTTTAATGGTTTTGCAGCTAGGTTTCAAAATGTCATGGCTTTGTGAATGTGTAAATCTCCAAATTAAGTAGCATGTAATTTCTCACTTTAACGTTTCCCCATCTGGAATGAACAGTGCCAACACACAGCCATGAACACCAGACTAACCTTTTTGAACACAATGGGTTCTTCCTCCCAGACTGGATTGACTGCGTTGCCTTGTGATGTCTTGGTTTTAAAGGCCTTCCTCTTTGTGTCCACTGGCAAACCAAACATATCCACTTCCACATAGGTCCCAACTTTCTTATCAGAAAGAAACTGACCTGAAATTATCTAGAAAATAATAATTATGAAAAAGGGAACTGGATTAAAAGAGTAACAGAGACATAAGAAAACAATTTAAAAAGATACAAATATTGATTACAAATGGCAAACCATAACAACTGTTACAGAATAAAAAATAAAAATATGATTTCTATTTCACTTAAAGAGTTGATAGATCAATTAACTGCTATTAAGATGTTGAGGTAAGAAGGAGAAGATTAACTTGTGCAGAAGGAAATAAGTGAACCAGATATTGACTTTAGACTATGAAGTCCAGATTCTTAATACACTTAAACCTCACCTGGTTAGTCATATATATTGTGAGTATCTTTTGCCTCATAGAGAGAGAAATCAGCTGGCCCAGTGGACAGAAAGTGATGCTACCAAGCCAAAGGTGGGTGACTTTTAATCCACGGCCCTGGGGCCTGTCTTTCATTGTTTTTGTTCAGACATTCCTCTAGGTCGTATAGCCCTGGTGTTCAAGTTGCCGGACTGCGGTCACTTTTGGTTGCTGTGAGGCTGAACACTGTGACACTGATGTGTCAAATGCATTAATGGTTGGCTACCCAATGCAGACAAAGAGTTGGGTGGAGCTCCCCGATTAAAACAAGCTTGGAAGGAGGAGTGGCATCCACTTCCATAATAGCTTGCCTCCAGAAACCCTATGAACCTGGAGAGAGGGTGAAAGGCACCGAAGCATTGAGGACTCTCCTTCATAGGGTCGCTGAGTCACCTGTGACTCAACGGCACTTAACAACAACAACAACCACCACTACCACCACCACCACCACCACCATCACCTTTTGCCTAGTTCTAATGCTGTGGATATTGTGGGGTTTAAAAAAAAAAACCAACAAAACATTTTGCCTGTTCATGACATGTGTCTTTGTGGTGCTGAAGTGGAACCACGGACAGAGCCAGAGGAGCCTCTAGGCTGCATGCAGGCAGCTCTCAGCCCTCATCTAGGGCTCTCTTCTGTCTCCCTCACAATTCAAATAACTCTACTGCCTCTAAACCACATTTTATAATCACTTACCCAGTCCAAGTAGAATTTTCAAGAAAATAATAAAGAAATAAATAAATAAGCAAAGAACAATCAGCAGATGAAACAAAACATGTTACTAGTTTGATTCAATTATAAGAACAACTGGTGAACTCTCTGAAAGTAAAATTTTCCATATAGTAGGCTTGATAATTTAGCTTATTTAGACTTGACAAAATGGAAACATCCTTTGCTGAGAAGAATTTCCTAAAAGAAATATGTTGTCGAAGAGTATCACTGTGTTGGAACAGACCCATAGCTGACCCTCTAATGGGTTTCCAGACAGTAATCTCATGGGAGGAGACTGTCCATCCTTCTCCCGGGGAACAATAACGGATTTGAACCACATGCCTTTGGGATTGCAGGGCAGTGTCTTACCATGTTTTTTAAAATAAAGTTCTAGAGTTTTTCTACTTCATTCTTTAAAAAATACAGTTTGACAGAATTTCAAAAGATCTACTCTCTGCTGGAAATGTATTTATTTTAAATCTCTATATAAAAAGACATGTTTTGAGGTAAAAAAATGCTCAAAGGCTAAGATAGGTAGAATTAAACTGCTACAGAGTGCTTTATTATGATGATGATTATTATTGGTTAAGTTCCCCACCAAAAGGCTTTTGGTTTAAGATCAATATAAAAATTGCATTTGTGTTCAATAAAAAAAAGCTTCTCATACAGTTAAATAGGAAAGAAATGAAACTTTCAAAAGCAAACAGAATTATTTGCAACCCAGGGCTTATAGAATTCATTTTAAAGACTCTTTATGAAAATGAATTTCCTACTCGAAGTATTAAAATGATTTTCTGACAGGTCGAAAGTTATATTAGCAATTTAAAACTGAAGAAAATCACTTGAAATTTATTGTATTGGGGTCAGATTTACATTTAATATAGAATGCTTGCTTTATAATTCAAACATTAACAGGTACTTTTAAATCCCTCAATACAGTGGCAGATTGAAAAACAAAACAAAAGAAAACCTTGCTGTGGGAACCTGACAGCTCTCATTCAATATTTAATAACTTATAGACAGGAAACTTTATTCTTAATTGTATTCAGTGTTCATACTTTTGTAGAGGGAAGAGTGAAAAAGTCAGACCAGAACTTTCTAATACAGGCAAACAGTAAAATGAATTGTGGATTAGTTAAACTAACAGGAGGAACTGGTTATGCTGCTCTAGTGACAGGGCTAGCAGGGAGCCACGGAGACACACTGCAAAGGCCACACCTCTAGTGGCTCAAATCTGTCGTGGTTCAAATTCACCCACGGTTCTGTGGGACAAAGACGAATGCTTTCCTGCTGTGGGTGTTAAAGCCTCAGAAACCCACCAGAGGGCCCAGCTATAGTTAGTTCTGACTCAGTGGCAACACACTTTTATGAAATTAAGATCTTTTATTTTCATATTGAGAATGAGATTCATTACCTTTATTTCATCAGTGAGGTTTCTAAAACATTTATTTTTTTTTCAAACTTGTGCTATTGTGGTAAAAAAAAGATAAAGCAACAGTTGCCAACCCACTCATTCCAAGAATCATTAAGGGATGTCAGTCACTCACGGTCATTATCGCCATCCATTTCCAAATTATTTCTCCAGCATTAACATACAATAGTTCAGTTATTTTAAAAAACATAATCCCAAACTCACTGCCATTGAGTGAGTTGATTATGAGCTCTGGTGGCTTAGCTGGTATCTGGAGGGCTGCTAAACAGGTCAACCATTCAAACTCACCAGCTGTATGTTAGGAGAAAGCTGGGCACTCTCCTTCCATAGAGAGTCCTGTGTCCTGTTCTCTCCCACCTCTCAGAACCACTCATAACTTTGGTGTCTATCCATTTGTCTATAAGTGGAATTATGCAATCTTTTAACTATGTAAATGAAATTTTGCAGTATTTGTCCTGTGTCTGGCTCACTTCATTCAATATACTGTTTTTAAGGTACATCCAGGGTACAGCATGTCTCAGTATTTCACTTCCCTTCATGGAAGATGAGCATCCCATTGCCTGTATGCATGCTTTGTTTATCTATTCATCTGCTGATAGATGTTTAGGTTGTTTCAGTATTTTGGCTACTATGAAAAGTGCTGTAAAAACTCTGATGTTCAGGCTTCTTATCAGGATTTTTTACTTTCAATTTTTGGGAGATCTCTGGAGACTAAGGTCCGTCTGATACAGGCCATGGTATTTGCAATCGCTTGTTATGCATCAGAGAGTTGGACAATGACTAGGGAGGACAGAAGGAGAGTTGATACTTTTGAGCTGTGGTGCTGGAGAAGGGTACTGAATGTACCATGGACTGCCAGGAAAACAAACAGATTCATCTTGGAGAGGATTAAACCAAGCTACTCCTTGGAGGCAAGGATTCTGGGGCTTCGTCTGACATACTTTGGACATGTTGCCAGGAGGGACGGGTCCTTGGAGAGGGACATCATGCTTGGGAGGGTAGAGGGACAGCACAGGAGGGGAAGACCCTCTATGAGATGGATTGATTCGGTGACTGGGGTAATCGGGATGGGCGTGTCAGAGGCAGTGCGGTTGGCGCAGCATAGAGCAGGGTTTAGGGCTGTTGTGCATAGGGTCGCTATGAGTCGCAAGCGACTCGACAGCACATAACAACAATGACAACATATAACTAGGACTGGGATTACTGCACAATAAGCTAGTCCCATAATTAAATTTTTAAAAATCGAATGCAGATGTAACCACAACAGAGAGTACTAATATATGAAAGAAATGGATATTATACCAGCTACTAAATTTTCAATCCCACTGCTGTGGAGTTGATTTCAACTCACAGCGGCCCTCCATCGGTTTTGCGAAATCTTTATGGGAGGAGACTCTCCAGCTCTCCCCCAAGGACTTGAACTGCTGGCCTTCTGGTTAGCAGCCCTGTACACACCAGCTATGCCACTTGAACTCAGTGGCAGTGTGCTTGGGGATTTTTTTGGTTAGTTTTTTTTTTTTTTAAATAACTGAGCTCTTGTACTTCATGCCAAATAAATGAGTTCAAAACATTTGCTGAGGCTGATTCCGTAACAGAAGTAAACGTACCTTAACAGATAACGTGTTGGCTACTATTCCATCTACGATGCCTTCAGTAAACGGATCAAAGTGCTTGTCAGGTCTCCTCATGAACTCTGGCTTTAACCTGTAGCCGCTCTTCCCATTGTATTCATAAATTCCCATGTTGATCTGCATTGCCAAGTCTGAGTACAAAAAGGACAAACTTAAAATGAATGTACCTGTATTCTGAGCAAGAAAGGGAGAGAATATGCACAGACTCATTTCCTTGTATTAACACTCACTTTTTTTTAGTGCAACAGTTGTTTTATTCACCATTATTTGTTTTTTAGTTTTATACTAGTTAACATACAAAGTACACAGAGTTTGTATAAGGTTTGATCTTTCCCCTTGTGACTATTCTCCTTCACAATATATTTATTCACTGTGGAAACTTAAGAAACACAGAAAAGGTATAAAAATATGCTCCATCTTCTAGATTCAAAACTAATCATGTCAGTAGTTTGATGTATATTGTTTCCACTTAAAATGTATTTTAAATACAGATTATATCCATTTCATTCAATATTTTTCTGCTTTAGTTTTAATAGTTATATAGCATTCCTTTGAATAGCAACATTTGAGTACACATACGTAACCAGCCTTCCTATAGAGTATATTGTTCTTTCTTCTCTTTTTTCCACTATCACATCCATTGTTCTTGTTTTTGTTTGCTTGTTTTCTTGGGAGGTACCACAGAAAAATATGGTACGCTTAGCGAATTTGTGTATCAGCCTTGCGCAGGGGCCGTGCTAATCTTCTCTGTGTGGTTCCAATTTTAGTATATGTGCTCATGAGGCAAATACCCCATAGGGAGTCTGACTACACAATCAATTATTTTCTTGGGAGTGGAGTTTCTGGGTCAAAAAGCACACCTTAGAAAAAGATGTTTTCTAAAATTTACTAGAAGATTTCTCATAAGACTAAGTTATGTTCCTGTTATTGTTATGTACTGGTGAGACACTGGTAACTCATAGAAACCCTATGTACAAACCCTGCTCTAAACCCTGCTCTATTCTGTGCCAATCTTATTATCTCCAACACATCTACCCCCATTTCCAGTCACTGAATCAATCCATCTCATTGAGAGTCTTCCTCTCTTGTGCTGTCCTTCCATCCTCCCAAGCATGATGTCCTTTTCCAAGGACTGATCTCGCCTTGCAAAATGTCCAAAGTGTCAGACAAAGCTTTAGACTCCTTGCCTCCAAGGAGCAGCCTAGTCTCACCCTCCCCAGGATGAACTTGTTCATTCTCTTAGCAGTCCATGGTATGTTCAAAACTCTACTCCAGCATCACAGCTCAAAGGCATCGATTCTCCTTCTATCATCCCTAGTCATTGTCCAGCTTTCTGATGTACATCAAGTAACTGCAAAGACCATGGCCTGTACCAGGAACACTTTAGTCTCCAGACTGACACTGTTGCTCTTCAGTACTTTGGGAGAGGTCTCCGACAGTAGATTTTTCCAATGCAATTCGTCTTTTAATTTCCTGGCTGCTGGTACCAAGAGTGTTGACTGTAGAGACAAATAAAATTTACCCACCCCGTTTTTGAGAACAACCTTATCAATGATGGATGCTAGGCTTCTTTATTTCTTAATTCATGACAGGAACAACCTTTCTCTTTTAAAAATGTGCACGTTGATTTCTATGCAGTACAACCAACTCTTATTAACACTTTTTCTGTGGTCAACAGTTGTTGCTAAAAACGTTTCTAAGACTGCGTCATCGTACCAAATGAATGTTCCCAGTAGGGACAGAAAATTCATTTCAAAGTCATAAGGAATGTGGGAAGCTGTCAGTTTCTCCAGATTACCAGTATTCCACTCAGAGACATAATAAAGAGATGATATAGAATAATTTCAGGGTGCTAAGAAACAAATCATTTTTTAGAACTGGTATTTAGTACTGATATTTTATATTCATGAAACTATTATCATTATAGAACCAGTTCAAAAGCATAAGATGATAGATCTAACACACACACACAAACACATATATGACAGGACAAAAGTCTGAACAAACTGTATTAACAAATCAGATAATATGTTGAAAAATAGTATGCAACAGTCAGGAGATTTATTCCAATAAGAAAAAGATAATTATATCAGGAGAGCTTTTATATTAAAATTGATCATATTATTGCACAAAAGAAATTAAAAACACCTCTTTTCATACCAAAAGTTTCACACACCAACAGATTTCAAAGAGATATTAAATAACAAAATATTTTAAAATGGGAAAAAATAAATTTCTAAAACACTGTTATCCAACTAGATAGAACAAGATTATACATTTGTTAAACAGCATCTATTCTAAAAGCACAGTCAGTATTTTTTTCAATGACATCACAACAGAGAAATTTTCATTAGTCTCACAATGGGGGAAAAAAAGGTATTCCTAAAAACGACTATTATGATTCTAGGATAGAATGGCCAATGTGAAGCAGTAAGACAAAGGAGGAAATGAACCACATTTCAGTGACTGTTATTGTGTATCTGAAAACCCTAATAGATTTTCCTGAGAAAAGACACTCCTGTTAAGAACTGTATGTGGTTCGAATCCATTTGTAGCGCAAGGAATTAAATGAGAACAGATGGCCGAGCAATCACAGCCGCTAAGCAAAAGTCAGAAATGCTGAATTTCTGAATGGCAGGATTTTTTATTTATCAATCAATTTATCTACCTATCTCTTTATCTACCTTCCTACCTGCATATATTTGCCTGTGTACATATAAACATAAGAAATATATAGATATAGATAGAATATATATGGAATACACACAACACACACACATATATGGAGTATATATATTTATGAAGTATATATATACATATATTTGTATCTACATAAACTTAACTAAATTAAAAATTACAATAAATACTTTAAAAAAGATAAAAAGCAGTTGTTTCAAAAATAACACAAAACTCAATGGAGATAAAGATAATAAGAAATGTTCTCATTTTTAAAAGTTCACTTGATTTGATTTTAAATGGCATGCATTTCAGTGAACTTCTGTTGTGTGTTCCAAAACTGGGGATTTTTCTCTCAGGTCTGAGACCATCCTCAGGTCTCGATACCCGGGGATGTGGCTTTCCCATCGGGGACCGGGGCTACTCACCCACTGTTTGGAAGTTGAGGGCGACCATCTGGCAGCCCGCGTTCCAGAAAAGCTGAGGCATGTAGTTAGATGAATCCACACGCGTTCCTTTTGGGTATATCCTGCTAAGCTGCATTTTGTTATATCTGGACCATCATGTTAAGGAGTGAATACAGTTACAGAATCGTCAGTACTAAGCATTGAAAGGACTCGCCATCATTCTCAGCTGAAAATGATGTAGGTAATTGATGTTCTTAGTGAGCAGGGGCTCATGAAGATTGAACCAAGAAAACACAAAGCAAAGCAAAACACGCCTTCTAGAACAAGCAGAACAAATCACCTTTTATAATACATATAGGATCACCTTTGCAGGGCCTTGTGTAAAAAAACCTAATAGGTAATGACAATTTCAAGGTCAAGGAGACAGGCTTAATGGTTGATGGTGTGGAATGTCGAAGGCAGGCTTCAAACCTGGGCTTCCTTAATTTCAAGGCCAGTGTCTGTTCCAATTGCCAGCCTATCACTCTCAGCATTACACATAACTATTTATTGGAAATTATTGATCACACTCATAGACTTCCATCATTTTTTTTTCCTTATTAGGGAAAAAAGCCACAGTATATAACTTGTGCTTTTGTTAGTACAACAGCCAGTCGTCAAATCAAGGATACTCTACAAATTCCACTGGAGACTTTGTAAGCTGCTCGAGACCTTTGGTTTCCACAAAGGAAGACATTTCAAAACTCCGATTTCTTTCTGTGTTAACAACAACAAAAAAAGAAGATAACAAATAAAATAGAATTATAATTTGTAACATTATTGAGTAAGCAATGTTCAGCGAAATTGAAGGAAACGAATTCCCACCATAACTTAATATTTTGTTTGCTTTTCTTGGTCAACTATTTATTTAGGAGAAAAGTTAAGATTTTTACATGTTGTTTTTAATATTTACTGCTTGCGTCAGATTCACTTAGAGTGTGGAAGTGAGCTACATGTATGAAGACAGTTCTCCACTTTTCAACCTTAGTTAAAATCTTCCCTTTTTAACACTCACCATCCACAATCCAAACCTCATTCTCCTCAATCATATACATCTTTACTTATTTCTTCACCTTTCCCAATTTAGTCAGTTCTCATAAACTCTTGTTCTTTGTGTTTTGGCCATTCCTACACACACTTTCATATGCCTAATTATTTGATGTGTGATTTATAATTAAAACTAACTCCAACTAAACGGGTACTTTGCAAACAATGTGCAGTGTGCCTTTAAAAAGTTATGAGATAAGACATAATGGTTAATAATATTATCCAACAAATAAAAATGGAACCCTATTTATTTTATGAGTTACATTTGTATATACTGATCTCATCCAAACAGTGTATCTTCCCTTGGTAATTTCCACATACCTCTGGAAACTCTATAAACTTTGATCATGAGAATAGTTACAGAAAGGCTTCAGGTCTTTTGTTCATAGGGTCACATCGCTATAAGTTGTGCTCGACTTGACGGCAATCAAAACCAACAATTTCAAAGCTTAATTTGAAAAAATGTTCCATGAAACATTTTCTTTAAGATTTTACAGTAAACTCCAACCAAACCCATTCCAATGAGTGAAGTCCACCTCATAGCCATTCCTTTTCCCCCATCTAGTTTACAAGGTTGTAAATCCTCAGGGGAGGAGACTACCTGTCTTTCTTCCAAGGAGCTGCTAGTAGATTTGAACTGCTAACCTTTCAGTTAGCAGTCCAATGCCTAACGCACTATGCCACCAGGGCTCCTCTGATTTAAGAATTAGGATTGTAAATTAATGTTTAAATGTGTAACTATTGCTAACTATCTGTACTGCTTATACTCACTGCTGAGTCCATCCTCTGAATTTTATGTTTTATTATTATTATCTATTCTATGCAAAATATTTGGAAGAAGGAGTGGCTTCCACTTCTGTAATAGCTTGCCTCCGGAAACCCTATGAACCTGGAGAGGGGATGAGAAACACCCAAGCGTTGAGGACTCTCCTTCATAGGGTCACTATGAGTCGCCTGCGACTCGACGACACTTAACAACAACAACGTCATGCAAAATATTGCCTATAAATATTCTCAGGAGAAAAATACATCAAACACAGGGAGATAAGCCCTCGCTTTGAAGTCTGGCAGTTGTGAGTAAACCTTAGCCAGGAGCTGACAGAATTAAAGCACTGATTTCTTTCTCTAACTGGCCACTTGTCAGGAAAAGGAACTATGAGTGATTGAATCGGGAATGTTCATTTTACAGGCAGTGAAGGTTACAGTACTAGAAAGATGACCATCTTATAATTTTTAAAATGGAATAACTTGCCATAAGAAGCACTGGGTAATTAAAACAAAAAACACTGAAATCATGATGTATTAGCTGGTTTGGAAGTTAGGTCCTTTAATGTACACGTACCAGAAGCCATTAAATTAACACTTTTCTGGTAAAATTATACATATACTCGTGCTATGAATTGGATTAGATTTTAATATCTTTATAAAATCAAATCAACAGTTTCAAAAAGTTCCTTTGCTCAAGCAGACATTTTGTTTCTAAGGGCATCTTTTTTTAAAAATAGCTATTAAAAAACTAAAAAACAAGACCCAAGGTCGCTCTTAACCTGTTCGTACCTCAAATTTCATGCAAATATAAAGGGAATGTTCTCTCTTATCAGGGAGTTAGCTGGGCTAGTTGGTAGGGAATTGCACTGCCAAGTCAAAGTCAAGAGGTTTGAATTCATGAGCTGCTTCAAAGGTAAAAGATGCACAATCTTCTTGTGTGCAATTTACAGCTTCTGAAAACCCTGCATGCAGACCAACAGCAGGCAGAATCAACCTGTTCTGAGTTGCAGGCAGTGAGTCGGTTTGGGTTGTTTTGCCTTTTCTTTAGGTAGGAGAAAGATGATACTTTTGTTTGCTTCCTGTATGGGAGTCTAGTTGGCCAGAAGGATGTCGTGCAGTGACATGAAATTAATTGTATATATATTCTCCTAAATACGTGAAATACGGCCGGAAAAATGGAATGTGGGTGATTCAGTGGATTTGGTTCTATTTATAGTCGTCAGGGTTGACACAGTCTCCGGCTGCTTCTCCTTTTAGGGGACACGTAGGCGGCTCATTTTCACACTGGTATGTAGACAAATGATAGATGGACCCCACAGTGGGGTTAAGATTCAATCCAAACAGGAAAACAAATGTGAATCTCAAAATTAGCCACAAAAGGTGGGGGGAGTATCAAACTTATTGCCATGCAGTTAATTTCAACTTACAGAGACCCTAAAGTACAAAGTGCAAATGGTCCCAGGCTTTCCAACACTCATCTGCCTCCTGCTCGGTGGCCGGGGGATTTGAACTGCTGACCTTTCTGTCAGCAGTCTAACATTCAGCTGACCACGATCAGTGATCTGCATAGTCTTATTAAGCATGTATGTTCTAATGTATTTTTTTAAATCTATGTATTTTAAGATTGTCAATTTATGTGTATATTTGAGAGTTCATCATGAAATAGTTCTATGAAGGTGAATATCCTTTGTTTTTAAAATATATTCATTATTCACCACAGTGGAGGTTTCTCTCCAGGGAACGCTTACTTTTTGAAGTTTCAAATGACTCAAACTTGACGGGCTGGATGTAGTTCACCAGGTTAGACATCTCCTCCGTGGCCATGGCTTCACTCCCCGCAGTCCCCTGAGGCAGAAATAAAAATACCATCTCCAATGCCAGCATCTTATCCTGGAGGGTTACTTTCCCAGGGCAAGGACTGCTTGGCCCATGCTCGCAGAAAGTGGCCCCTCATCTTCTGAAAATAATTATTCCCAATAAAAAGTGCAGTGTGAAAGACAGAAAACACAGTATCTTAAAGCATGAGGGGTCCAGGGCAGTGATAGTTTAAGTTAAGTCAAGAGCAGGTTGAAGTCAGTCGGTGGTGGTTTAAATTAAGCCCTACGAAGCCCCCAGTGAGCTTGTTATAAATGTCACGTCTGAGGCCCTGGCCCTGCCTCCCATACCAGAACCTATGTTTTAACAAGAGGACCCCAACATGCATTTGTGTACCACGCGGCTGTAATCTCTCTGGCCTCGGTAGACAGCCCACGGAACTCACCGTGGAATGACAGACTCTTGTGCAGGTGACCACTGGATGAACTGGGAGCTTCTCAGAAAGGGCCCCTTCTTATAAGAGGTTGGGGTGAACAAACAATTGTTGCCTTTCATGACAAACCTTCCCCCCTTTCTTGTTTTCTGTGAGTATTTTAGATAAGTCTTTCTGGTGAGGGAGTTAACAGCTCAGGCTAGAGGTAAATGGTCTAACTTGGAATTTCAGGCCCACTGGGAACTTGACCATGTTATTCAAAAGCTCAGCCTTTCAATTTATACATCTGTATAATGAATGGTACAACACAGGACAAGGCTCAGATCTGTTGTTTATGAGGTCGCTATGAGTCATACTCGATGTCACCTATCAATAACATAACATAATAGAATAATACCAGTTTCCATGGGTAAGGCGTGTTGCAGCTAAACCAAAGGCAGGCAGTTCAAATCCACCGGCTGCTTCACTGGACAAAGACATGGAATCTCTTCTTGTGCAACCTAAAGACTCAGAAAACCCGCTGGAGAGTCAGCTATGAGACAGTTCTGGCGTGATGGTACACAACAACAACAAAGACGACGTTGCATATAGAGAAACCGCGGTGGTGCAGTGCATTCGGTCACTGGACTGCTGACCGAAAGGATGGTAGTTTGAACCCCCAGCCACTCTACAGTGGAGTTGAAACGAGGTGGAATCGTCTGGAGGACAATGGTTTGGCGCCTGCTACAGCACAGAAGTTGTTACGACTAATAAATGTGAAAGACAGTAATGGCCGGCACCTAATAAACACATTATTTTAGACATTAGTAGTTATTACAAAATTTTGATAATTTTTTTCTTTTAAGAAAGACAATGGATACTGTGGACAGACTTCTGCATATGGATGTAATAGTGTCTTCTCTTTCTAAGAAAAATAGAAACAAGTTCGATTTTCACACTCCTGTGCAATATTTATGTTAATGACAATTCAGAAGAAGAATGTTGTAAATGGGCCATCCATGAAATAAGACAGTAAATGACCAGGAGCCACTGATTAAAAAAATTATAAGCCACTGAAGTAACTGTCAGGTAGAACAACTAGAGCACTTATGTAACAGCTTTCTTCGCGCGCATTAGCTAGAAAATTAGTGAGGAAAATAAAGAATAAAAAAAAAATACAGACACCATTTAAGGGAATAATTGTGAGCAGAAAGACATCAAATAGGACAAGAGTATAATTTGTTATTTATTTTTATGAATCTAACGTTGTACAAACAGAATCTGAGACCCAGACCTCCTGCTGTATTTAAAGCTGATTCAGTATAAACTTCCCATCACAGCACTGACCATCCCAAGTGCCCTGATGCTCATTTGTGTCTAGTTTTGGAAGAAGTACCTTAGGAGGCTTCGGCTCACATTAACAAATAACCCATTCAATGGTTCCACGTTACAACAATGGGATGAACATAAAAATTCTGAATGTTTAGTGAAATTCCCTATCATCTCTGGACTTCGTAACTTTTGGGCATTGCATTTCACTGTCTCAAAATTGAAGCCGATAGTTTAATATCACAAACTTTTAATTTTAATTCATCCTCCAGACAACTCCTTTGAAGAAAGGCAATCTGGGAAACTCTGCTTATTACAGAAGACTCTAAAAAATAAAAATAAAAAAAAATATTACAGAAGACTGTTCAATTTCCTGTATATTCGTAACTTCAATGACCAAAGTTTGTATTTCTACCGTGAAAAGGTGGCGAGGGAAAGTTTTACAGTGAACAGTATGCTTTTTGCCCACTAGATGGCAGAAGTGGCCAGGAAATATCCAAGCAGCACAGGCAGCCTGCTGGGCTGATGGAGTGAATGCTTCTGTGGGGACACAGATACCCACCTCATCCATGGAAGACTTCTTACAGTCATCGTCGTCATCATCCTCCTCACTCTCCGTGTCAGCCTCTCCTGTTACATTCAAAAGCACATCATTAGTACAGACACATACACATGAATAACTCATGTCATTAGTATTGCCAAAAGTTTCCTTGAAGATTAATTTTTTGCTGTTTGTTTCCAAAGCATCTTTTCAGAGTTTTCCATTTTATTTGCTCTAGAGAATTAATCTGACATTTTGAATGTTGATTCCGCCCTACTTTTCATTTGTGAATACCATTTTAAATTTCCAGATTCCCCAAATACTTGTCCTAACTTTTCTCTGTATTTCAAAATATGCAAGACGATACACAAATTGCTTTCTAGGACATGCGTACTCTATTTCAATGTATACATTCTTTTTAAGGGACATTCTGATACTAAACTAGCTAAAAGTCCTCTGACTCCATTCTCCTTGCCTCCTCACATCCCCAGTTCTGACTTGCCACACCCACTTTCAAATAATAGTATAGTTTCATGTAAAATATAGGTCACTTTTGACATTGCATTCTTAATTCAATAGTTGGTCAGGAGACCCTGCACACACCTATTTCAAGACAACAGGTCAAGGAAGACAATATAACCATGGGAAGAAACATCATAGTCTAGTAGCAAAGTCTGCTACCCAACCACTGCGAGATACCATTTACAGTCGATGATTTACCAACAAACTTAGTTGATGGGTACACTATCTTCTTAACAGGATGCACATCCTAGAAAACATTATAGGTCTGTTATCAGGTGCAAAACACAATGTGTGACCTTTCAAAGTCATAATGCTTTAAAACCTGACTCCATCAGACACCATTAAGCTATATATTTAGCTAGTCTCCCAGTTAGGGAGACCTGGTGGCCCAGTCTGTATGGAGCAGGGCGCTGACCCAAAGGCTGTACCTCTCTAGTGGTTTGAATACACCAGCAATTAATCAGGAGAAGACACAGTCTTGTCCTATGTGATTTACAGCCCGAAAAACCCGCTGATGGGTCAGCTATGAGCTTGACCAGTTACGTCAATGGGTGGCTTTTTCCACAAAGATCTAATGATGATGCTTTTGTTAAGGTAGGGCACCACAGGATGGACCAGGGTTACATGATCGCTAGGAGTCGTACTCCACTTGACGGCATTTAACAACAACAACAGTCTGAAGAACTATACTAATGCATAGTTCTTGAGTTTATCCAGATGCAGTAATATCAATATGTAAAAACATGCTCTCCAGTAAAACATCGAGAAGGCATGGGCTTTAGCCAAGACTTCTAGCTTTCACAATTCATTAAACATGAAATAGCAGCAATCTCCCAGTAGATGGCAATGTTGACTCAATGATGATGCAACTGGCAGCTCTCCTGCACCCCAACCTTCTGACAGTTCCTCCATGTGTCCACAGCACACCACTGTCCTCCAACAAACTCATAAGTATTGTCATTTGGTTGATGAAGTCCGATCAGTCACAGAGCGGAAGAAGCAAGCGAGGTATTATTCATAAACTAGAGGGAAAGCTTGCTGAGCCCCCATGGGGTTACTAGTTAAGGTCGATGATGGAAATCATGTTTCATTAAGTTAGAAATGCATTCTTTCAGAGGTGCATGTTGCCACTTCAGATTAGTTTATAATCAAATTTGCTGTTCCAAATTATCTGTTGCTGTTTTTAATCAGAGAGGAGAGTCTTTTAATCAAGTAATTTGAGAAGGCTGTGTGGCAGCATCGTATGTAAACCTCTTTCTGGGGTCACAATCATATACCAGTTATCACAAATATGCAATCAGATTAGCATTTGATTCAAGTAGGAAAAGATTTATTTGCCTCTACCAGAAAAGAGGGTGAATCCTTTTCATATTTTTAAAAGAATCTGGAGAAATTATGGTGAACTGTAAAAAAAGACAATTGTTGTTTTTGTTGTTATGTGTTTTCAAGTTGCCTGTGACTCACAGCAGCTCTATGCACTGCAGCCCTAAACCCTGCTCTATCCTGGGCCAATCTTACTTTGTCTGACACACCGACCCCCGTTACCCCAGTCACTCAATCAACGCATCTCATCTCCTGCACTCTCCCTCCACCCTCCCAAGCATGACGTCCCTCTCCAAGGACTGGTCCCTCCTTACAACATGTCCAAAGTATGTCAGACAAAGCTTTAGAATCCTTGCCTCCAAGGAGCAGCCCAGTTTAAGCGTCTCCAGGATAAATCTTTTTGTTTTCTTGGCAGTCCATGGTACATTCAACACTTTTCTCTAGCACCACAGCTCAAAGGCATCAATTCTCCTTCTATCAACCCTAGTCAGAAGCTACCCTAATTATTTCAAATTCATTGCTATTTCATTGATCCTAAATTATAGTAAATTCTATATATGGCAGAATACAACTGCTCTGCAACATTTCAAAGGCTACACTCTTTTTTCTTTTTTATTATAGTTTGAGTGAAAAGTTACAAAGCAAATTCATTCTTTTTCATTCAACCCTTTATTCACGTGGTGTTATTCTACAGCATTAATTTCTGCATCCACAGTGAAATCATACTTTTCTCACTTCTTTTCTGTCTTTCTGACTTCCGTTCATCTTTCTATCAGAAAGATAGGGCGCTTATCAGAAAGCTCTGGTGGCCTAGTGGCAAGAAGCTGCGCTGCACTCCCGAAGGCACGTGGTTCGAATCCAGTAGCTGTTCCATGGGAGATGGATGGGCAATCTCTTCCCTTGCAATTAACTGCCTCTGAAAAGCTACCAGAGGGTCAGCTATGAGTCAGTTCCAACTCAATGGTACACAACAACAACAACAACAGTGTGCTGATCCCTTTTTTCTCTTGTATGTTACCTTCCCCTAGTCCGTGGGGAGCTGTGCCGCAAACCCAGGCTCCTCTCTGGGAGTTCAAATCCACCAGCAGACCCTCCAGATGGACAATCACCCATGTGGTTTACAGACTTAAGAAGCCTGCTGGAAGGTCAGCGACAAGACCTTTCAGACTTAATGTGTTTGTGCTTTCACCCACCTTCATCTTTTTACTGAGTTTTCACTCCCCTATCCTTTCCTTCCTGCCCCTTGTTAACTCTCCAAGCATGATTCCATGTGCGTGGAAACCTTGCTTTCGCTTTTCACAGAAGCAGACTGCCTCTTCTCTCTCATGTGGAGCGGCTGGTGCGTTTGAACTACCCAGCAGCCACGCATTTTAATCACTGTGCCACCAGGGTGCTTGTCCTTCAAGACGAGTGCCCTTAGAAGCAACTGAATCCTGGAGAAGAATCTCGCCAGCGGGACTTATAATCAGTAAATTGTTTTGAAAGAAAAGCCATTTTATATTTTTCATGATAACGGAGTTTTCCAACAGCATGCAGTATTAACTCTGCAAATGGTGAATTAGGAATACGCTACTTGCGAGTCCTACCTACATAGTAAAATGTTCAAAAATTTCCATTGAAGTAAATAGCGATTGCACAACAAGCATTGAGGCTAGCTCAGGAAAGCTACCAAATTACTAACAGATTGCTGCGTTTTCTCCGTGTTAAGCAATAAGGTCCACTGATTGTCAAAGCCCTTGCGTGATGCTTGCAGTTAACACGAGCGAGAGAACTAGCCGAGGAGAGGCAGATGGTAGCCAGCCAGCACCAACATACAGACGAAGGCACGGGTTCTCGCTAGGCTTCAAGGGACAGGTCTTTGCAAATAGGTGCCCTGTTAACGATAGGCCTGCTTGTGATGTTTATTCCAAAACTTCAAAAAAGAACATCCAAACTGAGAACAAGGCTCTTTTTCTCAACAGAAATGATAATTCTGGAATAATGTTAGAAATGCACATTCAAAAGCTGCAAAAGGCACTCCGCTCAAAGAATTACATAAGGGTTCAAATCTAAACAGGAAAAAGAGCAACTGGCAATCAAGACGGAAAAAGAAGAAAAGAAAAATCATCATGATAGGCAACTATTTGCTGATTGCCCTGGAGTTTCTATTTTCAATTGTGCTGCCAACCCGAAGGTACATGGTTCAAATCCGCTGGCTGGTTTGCCTGAGAAAGAGGGACAGTCAACTCCCATGTGATTACTGCCTTTGAAAACCTGCTGAAGGGTGAGCTATGAACCCACTGCACCCACTCGATGATACTTGATAACATAGTAACAGTTGTTCTAAACCGCTTGAATTGATCTGAGGGGTAAGCAGGTGAATTGGCATATGCTAAATATACTCAGATGTCAAACTCAAGCTCAGTCACTGAGTTGATTCTGATTCTACTGGGTTTTCAGGGCTGGAAAATCATAGCAGGAGGAGATTGCTTATCTTTCTACCATGAAGCAGCTGGTGGATGGGCAACGTAATGGGATACAAACATCGGGCATCTGAAGGATCTAAGAGAGTACATTTTCCACAACTGAATACACTTGACTAACAGTAGTCAGATTAACAATGCATAACCAGCTCCCTGAAACCCCTTGGGATCTTTCCTCTTTATCCTCTAAAAGTAACCATTATCTCGACTTCTAACACACAGATTCGTTTTGCTTAATTTTCATAATCTATATAAATGTAGCCATATATCTGATTTTTTTCTCAGCATTATAGAGATGTGATTCATCACTGTTTAACACAGATTATCAGGATGAAGTCAATATAATTATACAGGTCCTTGAAAGAAGAAGCTATTTCCCAACTACTATCAAAGGCAGGGTATAACTACAGACAATAGAGTATAATTACAGAGAGATGGAGTTTTGTTGAATTGGAAGATAAAGGAAGGGACTAAGAATTCCACTGGTGGCTTCTAGAAGCTAGAAAAGGCCAGGAAATCAATTCTTCCTCAAGAACCTCTGGGGAGCTGTGGTAGCCTAGTGGATAACCCAACCCAAAGGTATGCAGTTCAAATCTACCAGCTGCTCCTCAGAAGAGAGGCAGTCTCCTCCCGTGCGATTTACAGCCTCTGAAAACCCAATGGAGGGCCAACTATGAGTCAGCCTTGACTTGATTTCAACTGGAGGGTCAGCTACGAGTTGAGTTCAGCTCGATGACAATTAACAACAACTAGAACCTTCAGAAAGGAACACAGCCAACACTTTAGTTTTCACCCACTAAAACTCTTCAGAATTTCAGACCTGCCGAAGTATAGGGTAATAAAACTGGGTGGTCTGATGCCACTAAATGGTGGAGTAGCCGAAGGGTACTTTACCATATAAGACGGCCAGAACAGAAAATGGGAAGCCCTTCTAGGCTCGGGTCAGAGCAGTAATTCTCAACCTACAGATGGCAATGAGAGCCAGCCTCTCGCAGTCCCTCACCGGCTCCCGGAGACGAAGGTTCAAACACACTGGAAGAGTCGCTGTATGTGTTCGAGGCTTGTTCTGACAGCTTCTTTTTGCCACTGCCTTCGGATGACTTGTGCGATTTCTTTTTATTTTTCACCAAAATTTTATACATCAGGTCCATAGGGCTCGGGAGAGGAACTCCAGATTCCAGCTAATGGGAAAAGAAAGATCCTTCTCTTAAAAGAGTGTTCCACTCCTTCCCAGATCCCGCCTCCAAAACCCCAGTGCACACAGAATGCCAACAACTCTCAATTATTCTCCCCTGCCTTCTGTACCAGTCGGAAACGCTTCAGTGTGTGTCCTGCAAACAGCTTGTTGTTATTGTTGTTGCATGAAAGGTGTATTTTAATTACCTTCAACAAGACCTCGTGGAGGGCCTTTGTATTTAAAAGTTGGTTGTTACTATATTTTAAAGGAACCTTCTTCAAAGAACAGTACTCTTCTGTCAATTTGCTGTACTGAGGTAACCAGGAGTTGCTGTGATACTGAAGCTTGTGCCAGTGGGGTGTCAAATGCCGTAACAGTTACCCACGGTGGACAGTGTTTGGTGGCGCTCCCAGTTTAAGACAGGTTTGAAAGCAGTAGTGGTATCCACTTCCTAAACAACATGCCTCTGGAAACTCAATGAACTTTGATAAATGATGATAGTATAGAAAGACTTCAGGCCTTTTGTTTATAGGGTCACTATGAGTCACGCTCGACTCCACAGCAATCAACAACAACAACAAAAAACCCAATTACTTGCATACAGCAAAATCTGCACAAATAAGATCACAATATAATAGAAGATCTGAGTGCACCAAATCTGAACTTCTGTGAAGTTTTCCCATAGATCATGAAAACGCAGCCGTGTCAGTTGAGGAGTTCTAGTAAGGCCATACTCTGCATTGCCAAAGTAGAGAAGCCAGTGAGAACAAAGCTTCTTCCTGGAAGAGCTGATAAACACAGGCTGCAGCTTCCTAATGCGCCTGTGGAATTGGCTTCCCCCAAGAGCGGAGACAGCAGCGAAAGTCCCCCCAGGCCTCCACGTTCGTTCTCCTGCCGAGCTCCTTGGCACCACAAGCCAGCTGGGTGGCTTCAGATTCCTCACCGGCCCCGGCCCCGAGAGTCACGCCACCACTATTTATAAGCCCTATTCCCAATGTTTCAACCTGGCACATCTAATGGGGAAATCGATGCCCCTGGAGAGGGTTAGCAGATATTGTATCAGAGAGCATGTGTGCAAAACACAGACAGGATATTTTTAGAAAATCTATTGACTTCCCATAAGTTAATCCTTCTCTTCGCTCCACTGGGTCTTGAGACTCCTGAGAACTAACTTAAGAACATGTGGCGACTGGTCAAGGGTGAAGAGGAGGAGATAGGCTACTTCAAAGTGTCCCCATTGCTTCTTTCAGGGGTGCACATTAGCAAGGGGGACCCTGAGACCAAGTAAATAAGTTAACCTCGGCCAGCCAGGACAGGCCACCTGAGCTGCCCCAGTGAACCATCTATTTCTCTCAAGGGCTGTGAGAAAATTTCCCAGAAGGGGATGGGAAGTCTGTCTGCCCTGGCTGGTCTGTGTGGGCTGACTGGGATTCTGCATTCCTGATGGAGTCACATCTGAGGTGCAGGGAAGGAAGGCGAGGGCTGTGGGGAGAGAAAGAGACTAGTATCTCTCTCACCTCTTCTCTTCTCCTCTCCTCTCCTCTCCTCTCCTCTCCTCTCCTCTCCTCTCTCCCTTCCTCCCTCCCTCCCCCTCTCCCTCTCCCTCACCAACAGAACTCTGGTCTAGTGGTAAGGAGCTGTGTGTCCAACACAAAGGCTTGCGGTTCAAATCCCCTAGCTGCCCTGCAGAAGAAAGATGGGCAATCTCCGCCTATGCAATTTACTACCTCCGAAAACCCACTCGAGGGTCAATTATGAGTCAGTTCTGACTAAATGGTACATAACAACAACCCTTTCTACACTCCTGGCATCCATGCTGCTGGCCAAGCAGCCCATTATCAGCTACACAAATCTCATCAAGAACTAGAAACATGAGAGAGGGTGAATCTGTGTTTCCCCCAAACCAACACAATCCCAGAAATCCACTGCTAGTGAGTGGTCCATTCCACTTCTGGAAAACCCATGTGTCACAGAGCTGAACTGCTCTTTATGTAATAAAAAAGCCAGTCTTTTAATCTGTGGTCCTTTGTGTTCAAACCATTGACCTTCAGATTGTCACTGACAGAGCTTCTGTACAACTGAGGAGCCTCCTGTTAGCCCATGCCCATCCCACCCCAAATCCTACACATGCTCCTTCAGGACCAAACATCCCCACAGCTTACTGGATACTTTTCCAGTGGCTCCATGAGAAGGGCATCCCCAAATATCAGTCGGCAGTACTCCGCCATCTTGGCTTGCTGTTTGGGGCTAAAAGAGGATAAAGAAGGAACAAAAGGCTTAGTCAAAATGCAGGGACAGGATTGCCAGTGGGTGCTAGTTACAGAAAGGGAAAATTCCTCCCCCGGGAGTTTGGGGCCAGTTTTACTCATTCTTGATTTCTTGTTTATTATTTTGACTTTGGGGAAATCTAAGCTGCATAAACAGGTGGATGATGAGAGTCATGGACATGAGTCTGTCCCTGCATCGTCTTTAAAAATTGTTTTTCCCTGTGACTGGAGGAAATCCATGCCTCTGAACTGTGATATCGGAGAAGGGAACAGAATATTATACGGACTGCACAAAGAGCAAACAAGTCTGTCGTGTAGAAAGTGCAGACAGTGAAACTTTGTCTCATACACTTTGGGCATGTTGTCTGGAGGGACCAGTCCTTGGAAAAAGAGACACCCTCTGGGGAAGGTGGAGGGCTAGAGAAAGAGTAGGAAGATTCTCCACAAGAGAAAGTGACCTGGGGACTTGAAACTCAGGCTTATCAGAGATAGTGAGGATAACACAGAAGAGGGCCAAGTTCAGATGCTGTTCATAGGTTTATAAACTGTACTTGACTCAATGGCATCTAACAACAGTTAATGACTGGAGTTTGGCCAGGACTGCCTAGAGGCAGGCTGGGTCCCCATTGCTTATTTTCCTGATTTTAAGTTGAATTCAATAATACATTTGGGAAACCAGCATCGTGCAGTGTAAATTGCTGAGTGAAACTGTCTATCAAAAGAAGAGCGCTGGGTTGCAGCGTTTGTAAGGAAGTAGGTAAGAGAGAGGGAGAGGGAGAAGGAGAGGGCAAGGGAGAGGGAGGGTGAGAGAGAGAGGAAAGACAGCGAGAAGGAGGAGAGAGAAAGAGAGAGAGAGAAAGAGAGAGAGAGGAGAGAGGAGAGAGGAGAAGGGGGAGGGAAGAAAGAAGGGATGGAGGGCAAGGGGGAGAGAGAGAGAGTGAGTGTGTGTGTGTGAGAGAGAGAGAGAGAGAGAGAGAGAGAGAGAATGAAAACCTTTTAAAATACGCAAAAGGGCAGGCAATGTGTGGACTAACTGAGGTGCATCCTAAGGAAAATATTAAAGGGGGGGGGAGAGAGAGAAAATGAGAACCTTTTAAAATACCCAAAAGGGCAGGCAATGTGTGGACTAACTGAGGTGCATCCTAAGGAAAATATTAAAGGGGCCAGCCTCTTGGAGGGGTAGCCCCTGTTTTTTACATGAATAATGGGGATGGGAAGGAGGCTTGAGCCCGAGACACTGCAGATAGGAGTCTGATAATGGAGGAAGGTAGAGAGCTGCAGGGTTTCCTAACTGAGCTGTGAACACTCTGCTTCCACAAGGAAGGGGCAAGAGGAACTGTTCTCAGAAAGACACAAAGAACAAGGGGACGAAGTGAAGTCCCAGAAGCAAGCACATCTTCAGCTCTGAAGACACAAGGTGACTGTTCTCGGGCAGCATCCGTCAGCAACTCGTGTGCCTGGGAGCACATGAACAGCTGAGAGAAGCGAACACACATATTTTTTCCAATGTTCTTGCTTTCCTTGACTTTTTAAAAAAGGAATCAAATATTTCTACTCATTCAGCAGAATGCTCACTACCATTATGATGTTGTTCAATGCCGCTGGGTTTTATGGGTGCCGATTCTGATCTACGAGCTGTCAGCCTTGATTTCCAATCATTATCTCTACATGCTGCAGTGTTAATATATTTTAGCAGAACTGGGACTAAATTAAGAACGAGCAATAATTATAAAAAAAATTCTCGTTTATACTGATTCAAACCTGAGATAACAAAGGGCTCTTCTGTGAATGTTTATGCGGCCTCATGGGCTGGTTTTCTTGGCAGGAAGTTGCTTTGGGACTTCAAAGTGTATTGCAATGGTTTTCTGGGAAAACTATGTATCTTTCTCTGGGAGCTTTGATGGCCCTAATGCCAAGGATTTGGGCTTCCAACTCGAAAAGGCAAATGTTTCAAATTCACCAGTGGACCCACAGGGGAAAACGGGCCAATCTCCATTATGATTTACAGCCTTTGAAAAATCTGCCGGAGGGTCAGCTATGGGTTAGTTTCAACTGGATGACACTTAACAACTTACTAATAAGTAGCTGGCAGAGGATATAGTGAATTACGCTGCTACCTCAAAAGCCACATTTCTCTCATGGTTCGAATCCACCAGCCTCTCTGTGGGAGAAAGATGGGCAGTCTTCTCCCATGTGATTTACAGCCTTAGAAATCCAATGGAAGGTCAGCTCTGAGTTAGTTCTGACTCGATGGCAATAAGTTTAAGATCTTTAGTTTTATTTCTTTGCCATTTTCTTTTGAAGAACAAAGCATGCTAGTTGCATGTCACACAAGTCTGTGAGGGTTCAAACATAAACCTGAAGTCCTGGCTTTCTTGAGACTGCAGGTTGAGGCCCAGTGAAGATTCATCTGGTTTGCAGAACTCCTTATCACCGCCTCCCAATTGCTCATCGTCGCTTTCTCGACCTGCAGGAGCTTTTACTACGTGGCTTACGCTGCCTGCCGAACATTCTGTAACGTTCCCCAGTGGTCCCAGAAGCCACTAATCAGAGGCCAGATCCTGAAAAGCATCGGAGGTGGTCATGTAAGGACAATTTGCTTGAAACTGTGTCAATGAGGCCCCAGGGAGCAGGCAGTGAGCAGCTGAAGAGGCAGGGCACAGTCCCCAGCACGCTCAAGTTCAGATGCCCTTACTCAAATGAAAACTCGCCCTGAAGTACAACCTAGTCTGCCTGCTCTGTGCTGTGGCTGAGAGCAAGTCCATCAGCACCAACCCGCACATTCTACGCTGCACAACAGACTTTGTCCAAACTCCACATTTACTTCACACAGCAGGGCGATTTACCATCACAGAGCTTTGCTACTCTAAGTGTGGTCCATGAACCTGCAATGTCAACATCTTCTGGGCCTTGTTAGGGATGTAGATTCTCAGGCTCTAAGGCAGATTCTGAATCAGCATCTTGAGGTCTAGAAATACGAGTCTTAACAAGACTTCTAGCTGATTCTGATGCACACTCAAGTTTGAGAACTTGTAACTAGGAGATTTCAAGTTGGAAACCAATTCCTTTCTTTAGATACTTGGAGTGAAAGGGACACATTTGACCCTGGTGCCCAGCTCTAGGGGTTTTACCAGCAACTTCACCAGTGGAGGAGTTTTTACTAAGAAAGCAGCAGGTAAAGTTGTCTAGACAGTCCCTAAATCAGAACCCAGGAAGCATTTTGCTGGAGCTATGATTCTCATTTGATTCCACTAGTCAATGTCCTAAAAGAAGCCCTGGTGACATAATGTGAAATGTACTGAGCTGCTAACCAAAAGGGAGGTAGTTCAAAACCACCATGTGCTCCTAAGGAGAAGGATGGGCAGTGTCCTCTCACTCAGAAACCCAGTGAAGAGTCATTATGAGCCGGGATAAACTTGATGGCAGTGAGTTTGATTTTTGAATGAGTTAACTGATCTGTTAAAGAGACAGTGTCAGGTTCGGTCTCCAGTGACTGGATCAACCTTGGCTGGAATGGTACCTGGGGGCCTGCATTTGTGTTAAGCCTGAGGATAATTCGGATGCACGCGATTCAAGGACAGTGCATTGTGCAGCTGCTTCTCAGTCCATCTCACTAGATCACATCACCCAGAGACCATACTAAGTGAAGATGCATTTGAGTGAGCTCTGGTGGCCTAGTGTCAAGAAGCTGCACCGCAATCCCAGAGGCACAGTTCGAATCCACCAGATGCTCTGCTGAAGAAGGAGAGACAAGCTCCTCCTGTACCAGTTGGATATGATTTGATGGTACACACACACACACAAAATAATAAAATAAAAAGAATTAATTAAAAAAAATGAAGGCGCATTTGCTGCATCTGGGATGGGGCTAGGGTCTCTGCCTTTCCAACAACTTTCTCAGTTACACAATCCACACTGAAGAGTAAGGAGTTAAATCTGCCTTCAACTTTTTCAAAACCCAGCTCAAAACTGCCAGTGACAGCGAGAACAAGAGGTCAGTGCTTGAGAGAAAAACGTACAATGGACTTGTTTGCAATCAAGTCCTCCACAAAGCCACACGTCCACCTGACAGGGAAGTGAGTCTGAGCCCAGAGCCAAGTGGACAGAACAAGTCAGCAGAAAACAAAGCGACTTTCACCGAAGGCCAGAAAACACACATGCAGGATGCTGGACTTGCAATGAGAAGAAACGGAAACATTTAGAGCATCAACATCTGCTACTATGGTGACGCAGGAGAAAGAAAAGCTCACAAATGCATTTTTAGCTTCAAGCCACAGCAGATGCTTCTGAACTCATTAAAACAGCCCTAAAGAGTAGGTAGAATCTCGTGGTAATGAAGTGCTTGGGCTTGATAATGGGAAGGTTGGAGAGTCAAGTCCATGTCAGAGGTGCCTCAGAGAAAGGCCTGTGATCTACTCCTTACATGCAGTGAGGACCCCTGGCCTGGGTCAGGTGCAAGACAACAGAAAGAGCCGGGCTGGACAAGGACGAACCATCTGGCTTTGCTTGGTTATGCTCTCTTGGAATGAATAATCCTCCCTTGGGTCAAGCCATTGTTAGAGCAGGTGGTTGAAAGGCAAAGTGAGGAGACAGGATGAGGTTGAATGAAAAGGTAGGATTCTTAGAAAAGGTACATCCCAAAAAAGGAGATGCGCCTCTCTGACGTAGGGATGGGAAAGGCCCCTTGCCAGGCACAGCTTTGTTTACAGTCAGCTGCCTCCTCAGTTTGACGTACTTCCGGGCTTAACTCTGGACTAGAAAGTAAGATGATGCATCAGGTCGGCAGTTGTTCTTGGGGTCACTTATGCACCTAAAATACTGGCTTGGGGGTTAATCTCTTCTGTGCATGTCAGGATCATGAGGCACCAAGATTCCTGGTTTTGATTGACTGTGGCCTGGCTCTCAGCTACTTCATCTGACCCTTTCCTCCCCATTGGCTATCAGTGAAAGCTCCACCTGGTTCCATCCCACTGGTATCCACCCCAACACGCCTCTTCCCTAGCCTCTCCCGTGTCTATCTCTAATACTGTGTATGAAAAATCAGCCCTTGAAAACTCTGTGTTTTTATGCTGACACACATGGGGTCCCTGTGAATCACTGCTGACTGGGTACTAGGAACTGGGGAAAATGCTGCCCCTTGGAAGAGCGGTTAGCTTTCTGATCTCAAAATGTGCCCTATTTCCAAATAACAGTTTAAACAAGGATTTGGCCAGAGCCACTCTGTGGGAGAAGGATGGGCAATTTCCTCCCATGTGATCTGTTGCCTATGAAAACTCGCTGGAGTTTCAGTGGCTTCAAGGTAAGGTGCTGTCCTGCAAACCTGAAGGTAACACGTGGTTCAAATCCACCAGCTGCTCTGTGGGAGAAAGATCAACAGTCTCCTCCCATGTAATTCCCTGCCAAATCGCTGCAGGGTCAGCTGTCGATCAGTTCTGACTCAACTTTTCGAAACGAGTCGGAGATGAGCTACAAGCGTTGCAATCTGCACACAGGCGATTTAAAATACTTGGAGAAAATGGCAGAAAATGCATTGACTGCTCCCACCCATTTTCCCAATCCGCATGTGGTTTGGTGTTGTGGTCAAATTGACCTAGGACACAGCTCCAAATCTGCCGTGTTGAATGTGTAGCACAGAGGAGGCTGAAAGAAATCACTGAAGACAGGAAACAGGTTTAGGATAATTTGAGGGCCTGTTCCAGGATCACTGAGTTGAGAAGGATTCTGAGGTTAGATTCAGGCTCCATGATGAGGAGCGCTGTGATTGCTAAATGATGGTGACCTTGGGTCAAGGGGTCCTGCAGTCAAGGTGGCCCACTCAGCAAGCGGAGTGCTTTACCAGCAGAGAAGAAGGTTTCCTTGGGAGTGTGGTCTCGCTTTCACCGCTGTAGAACTGGAACCAGCTCATAGCTTACCCTCCAATGGGCTTTTCAGAAGCCCTAAATTCACTGGAGAAGATGGTTCATCTTTCTCCCTGGTGGATTTTAAATGTGACTCAGTGATTTTGCCATTTCCAGGGGAAGGACAAGGGCAATAAGTAAATCATTTCCTCCTCCAGTAAAGTTCAACCTAAGAGTGTTACTGCCATTAGGTTATTGCATTGAGATGGGAGTTTTCCTTTTTTCACATAAGACCTATTAATTTATTTTAATAGCTGAAAATGTATCCTTTTTTAAACCAAAAATGCAGTATTATCGTGCTACTCTCTAGCTTTGCGCACTCTCTCTACTGGCTGCTTTAAAGACAAGGATGGGTCTGACTTCAGCCACGATACATTCACTTGCTTTGTGTGCACATCAAAGTTGGACAATGAATAAGGATGACAGAAGAAGAATTGATGCTCTGAACTGTAGTGTCGCCAAGGAGGAGTGAATAGGCCACAGGCTGCCAAAGGAATAAAAAAAAAAAACGGCCTTGGGGAAGTGCAGCCAGGCTGCTCCTTACAAGCAGGGGCAGTGACGTTTGCCTTACATACTTTGGGCATGTTTTCAGGAGAGGCCAGCGCTTGGACAGCAGAGGGTCCGAAAAAGAGAGGAAGACTCTCAACAAGAGTGATCACAGTGACCGCCACAACCTGAGCATGGGATAGACCATGAGGGTGATGCTGGTCAGGGTCACTGTGAGGCACAGTTAACCTGATAACACCTAACAACAACAACTGGTATGAAGATTACAAAAGACATTTTGTGTTTGCGTTTGTAGGTCAGAAGTCACATAAATGAGGACATGAACACAGGCATGGAAAAAGACCAGGAACAATGCTCATTACATAATTGTGATTGTTGTGTCCCACTGAGTCAGAACCAACCCATAGCTGACTCTCCAGTGGGCTTTCAGAGGCAATTAATCGTCCAGGAGGAGACTGCCCATCCTCCTCCCACGGAGCAGCTGGTGGATTTGAACTAAGTGTCTTTGAGATTGCAGTGTGGTTTCAAACCACTAGGCCACCAGAACTCTTTATATCTTATGTTGTTGTTGATTGCCGTTGAGTTGAGCACAGTTCACAGTGACTCTATGAACAAAAGATCTGAAGTCTTTCTATAATGGCCATCGTTTCTCAAAGTACACAGAATTTCCAGAGGCATGTTGTTTAGGAAGGTGTTCCACAAATATTAGCTGTTGTTATGTTTATGGTGGTGGTGGTCGATACATCTAACTTTGGATCAGCAATTGAGTGAATTAATTGATTGTATGAATTAAATCAGAGACCTAAGTATCATTTGGTGTTAGTTTTCTCATGGCAATGGTTGATAGCAACGTGAGGACCTCCAAGGAGAGTTCAGCATAGTAGCACATGTGATAATCAAGAATGGGACCACAGGCTTTAATTTTGTTTGCCACAGAAGTAATGCTTAAAGAAAAAGAATATGGTGAATGCCTTTTCTTCCAAGAAGAAATAACATTTCCAGTTTGGAAGCTGCAGTGACTGAGAGAAAGGCACTAAAGCTTTGTTAGAAACATTTAAATTACAAATAAATTTACAAACGAAATTACAAATGAATTACAGAAACAAGAATAAGTTCCAGAAATTTTACAAGCAAATCCAAGTCATGGAAACAGATGAGGTGCTAAGTCTGGAGACAGAAGAGGTATTCCTGTAAGTATGAAAAGTGACCCTCAGGATTGTTAGAAAAACATTGTGCTGAAGGACCAACTATTTCATCCAACGGTTCAGAATGAAACAGAACCAAGACCTGAAGAAGAGAAAATTATTTTCTTATACACAAGCAAGTGATATAGAGAATTATAAGACTGGTTACTGAAAATGACTTCTCCCTCTACATATGCTGTTAGATGTTATCAAGACAACTAGGCTTATAGTGACCCTATGAATATCAGATATGAACCGTATCCCATCCTGCCCTATTCTCATAATTTCTGCTACGTTCAAGCCCACTGTCACACAGTTACTGTGACAATCCACCTTAACAAAATTTCACATTTAATCTGAAATCTGCTTGTGCCCAAACTTTTCCTTTAAGAATTTGTACATTCTTCAGGAACCGTGAATGGCCGTTCTTCCTGTGGTGAATTAGTTGGACAAAGAGAACCAGTGACCTGAGAATGACTCTGGCCATTGGAAGTAGAGAAAAAACATGGGTACAAAGCCAAATGAGGTCAGGTGCTGTTGGCTTTGGGTCGAGAACTCTGGCTTCGATCCTTGAAATGAAAGAGAATTGCTCATAAATTGTTTTTTGGAGCAAAGCTAGCTAGTCACACTACATAGCTTTCAGGCACTTATCCCATAGGCTAAAACTTTAGCCCTGTGAATTTTGATTCCATATTGGCAAGAAGCTTTTTTGTTGAAGTCTTTTAAAGGGAGTGAGTATATGACAAACCCACAGCCATGTATTAGCTATAAATGTGGCTCACTTTAGTACCTGGTGATAACATAAGTATAAAGTAGTCATGTTAAAATTGCTTTTCCTTGGTGTAGCTCAGTAATAAATGCAGCAGATTGTGAAATAGGAAGATCTTCACAAATACTAGTGAACAAGGAAACTAATGAGACAGAAAAGGTCAGGGGCTGTCGTGGTATGAGTTCTGTGTAAGGGAGAGCGCAGGATGGAGTTTACAGCTCTCCTACCACACGCCCAGGATGGGGAGAGCTGGTCGCTTTATGTGCCAAACTGACTTTATATTTGCATGCAATAGAAGGAGCCAATTAAAGACGGTTATAAGAGTATCCTGATGCAAGCAGAATCAGTGATAGAGACATGTGTTGTGTAAAGAAAGGCCTTCCATTGCACTGTGAGAGGAGACTATTTAACTGAAAGTCATACATACAAATAGATTTCACAATTCTGAGGGAGTATTTAAATGTTAATGAGATTGCAATGAATGAATTCCACCATATATAGAGAGAAACGTGCCACAAGGGATATAACAGGATTGAAGAACACTGTTAATAATGTCAAGTCATCTTAAACCTGATGAGTAATTGATGAAACATGCTGGATTGTGGAAAAAGACCAGGACTGGATGTACTGAGTACTTACGAATCCACGTGGTTCTCAAAGGAGAGGAGGATTGGAAAAGGTGAAGTCTTAAATGCACACTCAGCGATTGCTTCAATTACTTCCTGAAAACCAGAACAAACAGGTATGTTCAATACCCCAGGAGTTTTGAAGCCCAGGTTTCTTGCTTTGAGGTTATAGCTCTTCAAATGGTTCCCTCTTTCACTTTACAGAAGTGCATCAAGTTCGTAAAGAACCGCCAGGGGATGGGGAGGCGGCAAGATTGCACTTTTTCTGACTGATGATGCAACACTTAAAAAATGGGAAGTGGATTTTGGTGAAAGTCCTCTTATTTTGGAGAATGACAGCTGCCTTTTTCTATTGAAAGACATCTAGTCACATTACAAAAATGTAAATAATGTGCGAAGGCAAATAATGTCACCTTGCCTTTCAGCCTTTCACTGTCTGAACCTCATCACTGAGAACATTTGCTTAGAGTTCCTGCTAGTCTGTTTTTCTTCTTTTTTTGTAACTTACCTTTATTTATGGCATATACATTTGTATTTTAAAAATATTTTATTGATGTATAATTTATCTACAATTAGATTTTTTTTAAGTAGATTCACAGAAATGTGCAAACATCATCGCTAGGTTAGAACACCCTTGTCACCTAAGAGGGCATCCCATGTGTATGAGCAGCCACATCCCGTGCCCAGGTACCCTCCTTTCTCACAATCCTACCCATTGCCAAGGTCAAGGCAATTCATGGTGACACTGTAAACACAGACCTCATTGCTGTGGACTTGGAACTCACTCTCAAATCTGATCTTCTGATTTCAAGAGGCTCTAAATCACATGGAAAGAGATTACCCAATTTTTCTCCCTAGAAGTAGCTGGTAGATTTGAACTGCCTACCTTTGTTTTGGCAGCAAAACTCCTTGCCCACTAGGCTACCAAGAGTCATGGCACTATAGGATTTCAGAGTTCCATATGTTTATTCTACTGGTGGGTTTGATCTATCAACCTTTTGGTTAGCAATTGAGCACTTAACCCCTGTACCACCAGAGATCTAACCTCTCAGTCCTCAGCCACCATGAATGTACTTTCTGTCTCCACAAATTTGCAACAGAAATGAAACTGTATAATATGCAATCTTTTGTGAATGGTTTCTTCCATTTAGAATAAAATTATGAAGGTTTATCTATGATAGATCCATCAGTACTTCACTTCCCAGTCTTTATTTTTTAAAAGGTTTACATTTTTAAAAAGCTTTAATATCTCTAAAGAAATCTGAAGAGTAGAAGTATTATAATTTATTTAACCATTCCCTAGCAACGGAATTGACGTATTTATGAAAGTTGTCATTCAAATTACGCAAGTACAAAGAGCACCTTCATTTTCTCTTAATATCTTGAATTTTTTTTTCAAGCATAGGTTCTCAGAAGAAGGATGGTTGGATTAAAGAAAATAAAGACTTTCATGATCCCTACGTGTCTTCAAATGACTTTTCATTTTAGTCAGGTAAAGAGAAAAGACATCACTTTAAACACTAAGGCATACTTGATCCAAGATTTTTAATTCCTTGATATTTATCTGAAAATTGGACAATGACTAAGGAAGACCAATGAAGAGCTGACACCTCTGAATTATGTTGTTGGCAAAGAGTGCCTGATATGCCATGGAACGCCAAAAGAATAAACAGAGATGTCTTGGAGGAAGGGTAACCTGGTGTTCCTTAATGGCACAGTGAAACTGCATCTCACATACTTTGGATATGTTACATGAGGGCCCAGTCCTTGGAAAAAAAAATGCCAACAATAATTCCTTACAGTTACGCCTTATCTGTTTTCTTTCCAAATTTCTCTTCCTTTATGAAATAAGACTTTCCTTTACATTCATGTAAGAGAGCCAATTTCTCTGCCCCTGAAGTTTAGATGAGACTTTTTAATTCCACATTACATGTGCATATGTTCTCTAAGAAGGATTTTCCTGCATGAAGCAGGAAGGATCACTCTGAATTTTTCTGGAGTTAAGTTCACAGATTACCCTTCACGCATAATCAGTTTAACCTTTAAGATAGTTGAGTCCATCAAGAATAACTCACGCTATAAAAAGACAAGCAATACATTATTCACTATATTAAAATTTAAAATATTAAATAATGTATTGGATTTAGTTGAACGTTGACTCTGAATTCAAAGAGACTTGCCCTAGAACGCTGTTTCTGGAGCTTACTAGCTGTGTGACCTTGGGAAAAATCACTTCATGTTTCTGAACGTTGGCTTACTCATCTCCAGCATGAAAACCAGAAACTCATTCACTCCATAGGCTTGCTGCGAGAACAGAAGAGAAAAAGGAAAGGGCTCCACTTGTGTAGGGCAATTAATCTCAAATCAATTGCACCCCACTTTCACTGTAGAGGAATAATAATAATAATAAAAGCAATGTGGTTGTTAGGTGCCATCAAGTCCTACGCATGAAGACCTCACGTACAACAGAAAGAAATTCCGTCCACTCTGGCACCATTCTCGGAATATTTGCTGTGCCTAAACCCCTGAGGGTCTTCCTCTATTTTACTAAACCTCTACTTTTCCCAGCATAATGTCCTTTTCCAAGGAGTGATCCTCCTGATAACATGCTCAAAATAAGGGAGACAGAGTCTCACTACTCTTGCTTATAAAATGTATTTTGGACGTACTTCTTCCAAAACATTTCTTTATTCTTTTGGATGCCTATGGTGTATTCGATACTTTAATATCACAAAGGAAAATTTTCTACCTTATTAATTTTCTAATTTTGACATGCATATATGTGGAACAAGTGAAAATACTGTGGTTTGGGTGTGGTACACCTTAGTTTTCAAAATGATACCCTTGCTCTTTAGATCTTTAAAGAGGTCCTTGGTAGTATATTTGCCCAAAGCAATACTTCCTTTATTTCTGCATTCATGGGTGTTGATTATGGATCAAAGTAAAAGAAATTCTGTGACAACTTTCATCTTTTTTCTGTTTATCATAATGTTGCTTACTGGTCAATTTGTGAAGGTCTGTGTTTTATATGTTAAGAAGTAATAACAACTATCATTATAGGAGGAAATACTCTGGTGGTTTAGTGGTAATGAGTTGTGCAGCTCACCCAAAAGCATGCAGTTTGAATCCCTCAGTTGCTCTGTGGGAGAAAGATGGGCACTCTCCTCCTACGCAACTTACTGCCTCTGAAAATCCACTGCAGGGTCAGCTAAGAGTCAGTTCTTACTTGACAGGACACAACAATAACATTATAGGATGGATGAAGTATCAGTGTCTCAAGGATACATTTCCCATCTTCCATGTGGGAGACAGGATTCTCAGCCAATGTTCCTCATGCACGCACACTGACCACGTATCTCCTGGTTTGCCTGATGCTAAAAAGATTTCTGTGAACTATGCAGTCTACACAAATTTAAAAAGAAAGACCAGCAATCTACATCTGAAAAATCAACCGTGAAAATCTTATGGATTCTAACAGTTTGATCCACTGTTGAGCAAAGAATGGATGTAGGATGAGGCTTTTTTTGTTGGGTTCGACCACAAGGTGTGGCCATGCAACAGCAGGTAACAACACTATTATTGGAATTCTCTTAAGTATTTAAATATGTAGATACAAATATCTTCTGCTACCGCCATCTATAAAAAGAATCTTACCTACCCTTTTTTAAATTCTAAAATGAAAGCTCAGAGATAGACACTGTCTTGACTCAGATCCCATTAAACAGAATCCAAGATAGAAATCCAGATGGGTTAGCCTGACTCCAGAATTTATGCTTTTAACTACTGTTAACCATTGCAGTAACTGCTGTGGTACCTTTTATGTTGTTCCCATAAGTTCACTACCCTTTCCTGTGAAAGGAAGTTATTACAACACTCTGTTGACAGTGGGCTTGGTCATGTGATCTATTCTGGTCAATGACATGTGTGTGAAATGGCATGTTCTCCTCTGAGAAGAACTTTCAAGAGCCATATTGTGATTTTTTCATTTCTTTTTGCCCTCTGCCATGATTCTCATGACACCACAGGGAGGGTCTGTGATTTCTGCATGAGTTACAGACACTACAAACCAGAGAAACAGCCAACATCTAACATTAGTAAGAAACAAAACTTTGTGATTATAAGCCACTGAGATTTGTAGGGGTTTTTTGGTTGTTGTTGTTGCTGCAGCAAAACCTCAGGTGAACTAAGACAGACATCTAGTTACTTTCTCCTCAGCATTTATGTTTGTCCATGCCAGCTTACTGCACAGAGTGAGCAATTCCTCAACGTGAGTTCTCCAAATTCTTCTTTCTGGTGCCTCATGTCACATTCAGTGAAGTGTAAATTTTTCATTTCTACACAGCCTGATTTGACTCTGAATTCACTTCCTTTGCATTTCTCCCTCCCTTCTGTCCCTTGTTTATTCTACTTCAGTCGATCGATCTCCTTGCTCTTTTCCTACTCTACCAAACATCTTTCACCTCATTATATTTGTATTTTCTGGGATAGATTTCTCTGAAAACATCATTTACTTCCTTCATTTTGGTGAGAAAATGCCTGAAGTTCTGTTCTAATGTCTTAGCATAAGAATTTTCCCCATTATCTTACTGAAAATAGTATACTCCCAACCTTCCATTTTCTTCCTACACTTACATAAACTGAATACTAATATATACTTTAAGGAAATATTTCTACATGTCATATATGTGAGTTTACTTTTAGTTTATTTATCCCAACTTCTTAAGTATTAAATTTTGTCTTCTTCACTGCTGTGTTCGTAGGGCCCAAGACAGAGCTAAAGCACATTCTATATGCTTATTAAATATTTTCAAGTGAACTCCTGTATTATAGGTGAAACAGAAACACTATTTAATTGTGTTCCCATTTTTCTTCTTCTATTGTCTTGTTTAGAAGTCAGCATAAAGAGCCGGATAGTAAATATCTCAGCGTTTAAAAGCCGTATTGGCTTCTGTGGCAACTAATTGACTCTGATTGTGTAGAGTGAAAAAGTTTTGCACAATATTTAAATAAATAGACACTGTTGTTACTGTTGTGTGCTGCCAAGTTGACATCAACCCATAGCTGACCCTCCAGCGGGCTTCAGAGGCAGTTTAATC